TAAGTGGACATAGCTTGAGTGCTGTGGGGTTCGAACCCACGCGGACCGTGTCCAGTGGATCTTAAGTCCACCCCCTTAACCACTCGGGCAAACGCTCGATAGCGACAGCTTATATACAGCGCGCGCTTGGGCTTTGAAGGAGACATTTGAATTGCAACGACCACCTACGTGGGTGTGTGTCTCTATAGGAGCAACTCTCACCTAAGTGGACATAGCTTGAGTGCTGTGGAGTTCGAACCCACGCGGACCGAGTCCAGTGGATCTTAAGTCCACCCCTTAACCACTCGGGCAAACACTCGATAGAGCTGGCTTGTATCCAGCGCGCTTGGGCTTCAAAGGAGAAAATTGAATTGCAACGACCACCTACGTGGGTGTGGGTCTCTATAGGAGCAACTCTCACCTAAGTGGACATAGCTTGAGTGCTGTGGAGCTCGAACCCCCGCGGACCGTGTCCAGTGGATCTTAAGTCCACCCCCTTAACCACTCGGGCAAACACTCGATAGAGCTGGCTTATATACAGCGCGCGCTTGGGCTTTGAAGGAGAAAATTGAATTGCAACGACCACCTACGTGGGTGTGTGTCTCTATAGGAGCAACTCTCACCTAAGTGGACATAGCTTGAGTGCTGTGGGGTTCGAACCCACGCGGACCGTGTCCAGTGAATCTTAAGTCCACCCCCTTAACCACTCGGGCAAACACTCGATAGCGCTAGCTTATATACAGCGCGCGCTTGGGCTTTGAAGGAGACATTTGAATTGCAACGACCACCTACGTGGGTGTGTGTCTCTATAGGAGCAACTCTCACCTAAGTGGACATAGCTTGAGTGCTGTGGGGTTCGAACCCACGCGGACCGTGTCCAGTGGATCTTAAGTCCACCCCCTTAACCACTCGGGCAAACACTCGATAGAGCTGGCTTATACTCAGCGCGTGCGCTTGGGCTTCGAAGGAGAAAATTGAATTGCAACGACCACCTACGTGGGTGTGTGTCTCTATAGGAGCAACTCTCACCTGAGTGGACATAGCTTGAGTGCTGTGGGGTTCGAACCCACGCGGACCGTGTCCAGTGGATCTTAAGTCCACCCCCTTAACCACTCGGGCAAACACTCGATAGCGCCATCTTATATACAGCGCGTGCGCTTGGGCTTTGAAGGAGAAAATTGAATTGCAACGACCACCTACGTGGGTGTGTGTCTCTATAGGAGCAACTCTCACCTAAGTGGACATAGCTTGAGTGCTGTGGGGTTCGAACCCACGCGGACCGTGTCCAGTGGATCTTAAGTCCACCCCCTTAACCACTCGGGCAAACACTCGATAGCGTCAGCTTATATACAGCGCGCGCTTGGGCTTTGAAGGAGACATTTGAATTGCAACGACCACCTACGTGGGTGTGTGTCTCTATAGGAGCAACTCTCACCTAAGTGGACATAGCTTGAGTGCTGTGGGGTTCGAACCCACGCGGACCGTGTCCAGTGGATCTTAAGCCCACCCCCTTAACCACTCGGGCAAACACTCGATAGCGCCAGCTTATATACAGCGCGCGCGCTTGGGCTTCAAAGGAGAAAATTGAATTGCAACGACCACCTACGTGGGTGTGTGTCTCTATAGGAGCAACTCTCACCTGAGTGGACATAGCTTGAGTGCTGTGGAGTTCGAACCCACGCGGACCGTGTCCAGTGGATCTTAAGTCCACCCCCTTAACCGCTCGGGCAAACACTCGATAGCGCCAGCTTATATACAGCGGGCGCGCTTGGGCTTTGAAGGAGACATTTGAATTGCAACGATCACCTACGTAAGTGTGTATATCTATAGGAGCAATCCTCACCTAAGCGGGAATACCCTGAGTGCTGTGGGGTTCGAACCCACGCAGACCTTAGTTCCACCCCCTTAACCATTCGGGCAAATACTCGATGGCGTTACCCAGTATGCGGGGTGCTTGAACTGTGAATGGTCGAAGGGAGTCAAATTGACTCAGCCAATCATAGCAATCTTAGCTCTAGGTTGTGCTGACCTACGTGGGAGTGTGAGCCTTGATAGGAGGAAATCTTACAGTACACAAGTGAGGTTCCCTACGAGTGGTATGGGGATCGAAGTTCAATCATCGAACCTACCCGATCCGTGACCAGTGGATTCCAAATCCATCCCTTCAACGGCTCGGGTAACCACTCTATGACCCTCGCTCGTATCCAGTGCTCAACTCTAGCCACCTCACCTATAGCTTGCTCGAACCTACGTAGGTGTGTAAGTCTCAAGAGGAGCATTTTATACCAGAATTTAGCTCATTATGGTTGCTGTGGAGTTCAAAGTTCCGATTTCAACTCTAGGCAACTCAGAGGAACAATCACTCACGTCTGCAAGTACCCAGCCTGATAGGGCCAGAGAGGATCAATAGGACTCAAATGCATCAATGTAGGCTCTAGCTCGTATGAACATATATGTGTGTACAGACTTCGATAGGACAAGGCCTTGCGGAAGTTGCCTTGACGAGTCTATGAGATTTTTCCGAAGTTGCCCAGGCCCACAGTATTCCATGAGAACATAACATGTTGTGGTCGGATCTACGTTATCGTGGACTCACGAACCGTGGACCACGTCATCCAAGATTCGTATTCGTATCGAGTGAACGTTGAATGCATTCTGGTTCCTTTTTTCATCGGCAGAACTTGACCAGACACTACTAGCGCAACAGACAATGTGAAGAAACTCAATTAACGTTTGCGCCTCCTTCGACTGGTGTTCTGTGCATCACCAACAGAGTGGTGACAGTGCCGCGATGGTTTGTCTCTACAGGTCCGCCGCCGTTTCGAAGATGTGCCATCGCCATGCCACCATCCGTAGGCCAAGGACTGAAACAGGAAGCACACCTCAAGAATCGTATGCGATGAGCTGAGTGATATACAAGCCCACCTGTAACTCGGCCACTTGCTGATCCAAAGGCCTCGTGGCCATCTGCACAAGATGCATACATGTCGTGTCTAGCTCGTCAGAGCGTGGCTCTCTGACAACATCCAGGTTCAGCTCGATTACAGCCACAGGCGAGCTCACCTGAGCCGGGAGCGCAACGTGGTACACAGGGACTGTATCGCCTCTGTACGAGTTAAGTATGCGTCTTCAGCATGACCTCTGGTGCCTCGCACGTACCTTCATAAGACCATGTGGCTTGAATCCAGAGATACATGCTCTGCTCTTTATGATCTCAGAGATACGGATATACATACACTTTATCCCTTCAATCATTCTAATCACCGACTGCGCGATATGATGCACGAACGGGCTACACGGGAAACTTCGCTCGGATACATTCATAACGGAGGATGTCACTCCCTGGGCGAGAGCCAAGCTGATCAACTCACACATATGCCGTATGATCCTCAGAGCTAGTCGTCATGGTCATGAGGACCTTCTCGCATATCGTCGCCTTGAGGCCGAAGCTCGACACCAAGTCCGAGCGATAACTCACGTATCTACCAGGTGGCATGCCTCACCACGCCCCCCGCGAAGTGGCTACACTCGGCAGCTTATGGACTGGTTAAAGAGATGAACAAAATGGGCGATGAAATTGGGGGGCATGGCCAAGTCGAAGGAGTAGATGTGCGTCACCTGCCCAGTACCCTTCAATAACACCATCACTCGCGACATAGCCCGGTACCGGATCGAACTGGGTGAGATCTGCTGCGTTCATCAATTTAAAATGGATATTCAACGGTTGAGTGTTGAGGACCAGAGGGGCTGCCGCCGTCTCGGACTGTGCTGGAGTTGACTCCTACGAAGGGCCATCCAAAGACCATGACCAATACCATTGACGTACCTGCCCGCAGCCTCTACCAGTGGCCGGTGGGCCACTGCCGAGCCCATGCACTTCCTGCAGGGTTTCGAAGTGGTGTAGCAGCGAAAGGAAGTGCCTGGAAGCTGATGACCACCGCGAGCAGTACTTGGCAGTGGCATACACGTTCTTGTCGAACTCTACTCCCACTGAAGCCTTTATGCCAGGTACTATCAGCGCTGCCAAGAGTGATGGAATGCCTCGTCCCGAGCCTATGTCCAGAAACACGCTTGAGCTGTCCAAACCATAGTCAGCCTGAGCTAGAGAGATAGAACACCAAGTAACCCCATGACCGTAATGATAACCATGAGAATGGCGAAGAGCTTCAGCATCGACCCTCGGGTGTTCTCCCCGTACGTTGACATCGAACTAGTTGCTATTGTGTTATACTCTCCCCGCCAGAGATAGTCCAGGAATCTGACTCGAAGGTCGCCCTCTGCATGAGGACCCACGCCCGACTCCTCACCCGGTATTGCTGCATACTGATGCCACACTTTCTGATGGCGATGGGCAACTACTCTCCGGACTGGCACAGAGTTCAGACGATGTACTGGACGTCGAATCCACGCTGTTGGGCACGAGCATCTTGTGGACCAAGTCAAGTACTAGCTATGCTACAGTCAGACCCCCTCCCCCCTAGAATACCCAACAGCGCTACACTGGAGACTATCGTTGAGCTGGTAAGTCAGCAATATGGTGAATGACTGTAATCAATCGTCCAGCAAAGACTGCTTGGTTATCGAGATCCCCTCAGCTTCTGGCCTGGCAGCAGTCTTCCTATTCTTCTTACCCTTTTTCTTCGGAACATCCTCGACGGGCTCATCGGCCTCGGCAGTGTATTGACGCTTTACCTTCCTCCCATGACCCGTCTCGTACGCCTCGGCTCTATAATGGAACCCAGACCGTAAGCCTGTGCATAGCGAACAAAAGAGTCTACTCGCATCCCCCTAAGCCCCTCTCTGCTACCACTGCCGTCATCTGCGTCAAGCTGCAGCACCCTGCCCTTCAGTTTCCAAGGCTCCTTCCGAGCACATATTCGCCGTACCACACCAGGGACTTCAAATGTAACGTAGCAGAAGCCTTATGAAGACGGTGAGCATTGGAAGTCAAATGCCTGGCCACTATCACCCTTATTCCGACGGTCCGGTCCAGCGGTGACCACTCGGACGTTCTCAACGTCACCCGCAGTGCTGAAGAGCTTGGAGATGTCTACCTCCGAAATGTCATCTGTAGTAGAGCCGAATATTGTACGACAACGACAGAGATAAGACTTGCATGGTAGGTTCTTGACAAAGAGGATCTTAGCTTTATCATCAACCTGTTTTGGTGACCAGCTGACTGAACCTGTACGCACAGGACTACAAGATTACTCATACGCATAATGAAAGCAACTATCGACGATCAGCAATCATCAGGAGGGAAATCCCCTCGGGAGGACGAAACCGGAACCAGGCATGAAATTGCCATTTGTAGCTCTAGCCTGCTCTCTTTGGAAGAACCGCTGTCTCAATTTCCGTGCTCCCTGAATGTGGCACACCCTGTAGTACCAGCACTGCCGCAAGATTTGGCCTCAGTGACCTTAAGCCATCGTTGTCGTCCACTGCCTCCTGCCCACACCTTAGAACCGTCAAGCTTGAGAGCCTCGGCGAGAGCACTATCGTCGGCCAGAGTGACATGAGCGTATCCTCTCTGTAGGGCAACAACTGAGCCTCCTCCTATTGACATCTCCCTTACTAATCGTCCACTGTCTTCCCATTTCGGCGCACGGACGCTGAGGATCTGACCGCACTCCTTGAAGTGGTTATATATGTCCTCTTCTGTCCAGCTGAACGGCAGCCCTAAACGCCATGATAGTAATAAGGAAGAATCCGGACAGTCCCAACCGAAAACGATAAGGAAACGAGCCACTCCATGCACCGTATAAATTAGAGACCGTTCCAGGCGAGTCGCCTCTACTGGCCTTCGAAGGCATCGAAAGCGAGATATTAAGACACTTATAACATCCCCATGAAAGGTCCATCATCCAGCGGGAGTAAGCCCGGGTACACCACCCTTGCACTACCTTCCACATACACTGTGTTCTCAGAGACGTTCTTGTACCGCTGATCGGATGACATTATCGTAGTAAGGGCAGTAACTCACAAAAGAACCAGCCAACTCCTCATTGGGCCTATAGGCGACACGAGGCCGACTATGAGAGTCTAAGGAATCTTGCTCATCTTATATTTCCTCAACGTTCTCTTTCGAGGTAGTGAATTAGTTCATGTTCTCCCATCCTAATGTCATCTTAGTATGGCTGCTCTCTACAAGCAGCTTGATATCCCAGACTTTCGTCCCAGCAGCGGCCGCCAACGCCGATGGAAATTTCGACGCGACTGTCGACTATTACCGAGTGCTCGGTGTTGACGAAAGGGCAAGTGCTGCTGAGATCAAACACTCTTACAAGAGTCTCGCAAGAAAACACCATCCTGACGTTAGTTCAGCGCCAGATGCCACCTCCCGTTTTGCGGAGATTAATGAGGCCTACGAAGTGCTCGGTAATGCTCGGACACGATCGGACTATGATGCAGCCCGGAGGTTTAAGAACCCTCAATATGGTCAGTTTAGTGACGTTTATGGAAGAGGGCACGGGGGCAGGCCAAGGAGATACACTTACGTCTACCGGTATCAGAGCCCGAGTCAGTACCATGAATTCGACCCAAGAGATTTCTTCGATTTTTATACCACTGAAAGAGCGCGGCGAGATGGAGGTTTTCACCAAAACTCCGACAACAAAGATACGGTTGGTCGTTCTCGTGATATCTTCGACGAAGCTCAGAGAAAGCTCATGGATATCCTAACGCCGGTCTGCATTCTTTTCATGGAGCTGGTGATAGTACATACAACATTGGTTATTTTGATGCACTGAATTTGTATTATAACGGGTCCTAGTATTGTTCCTAAATGACGACTGTCGATTTTCTGAGTTTGTCGCGGGGGAGGCGATAGTGAAAGCCACCTGAGGCTTTATGGAAAAGTAAAATCTTTTTCATAGTTGAGCGTATACATTTTCATGGAGGATTCGCTGGCGTCATTGAAGAATGAGTTAAATCTGCTCAAGGAGAAGTATGTGTTTGGGGAATCCGTAGACCCAGTGTTCGAAGGGACGGTACGGCAATTCTTGCAGTTTGACAACACCTTACAGGTGATAGCGTGATAGTGACGGCTAGGGGGTGTTCATAATGGAGCTGTGTCCACAGGAGATTTACCGGTCGGTGGACGTTTATATCCGTTCTAGTGAGAACCTATGTGCAGGGATAATGCAACTCTCGGAGACTATGGTCAACGGAATGGGAAAAATGGTAGTAGTAATACCGTAAAACGTTCAAATGGATTTCAAATCTACTATCTCACTGGATCTCGTCTGCTGTAGCAAGTTGAACTTCTTTGCTAGGAGGACCCGCTGATAGCCGCTGATACTTTGAAAATGCGAGAAGCTGCGAACGGCATTGGACGGTACTATTACAATCCCGAATGTCGAAAGCGGCATTGTTGTGAATTTTAGAGCCGACGCACCGCACTCTAGCTTGGCGAAGTTCAAGCGTGACATCGATTTTAATGTGATGAATCCAATAAGGCTCCATCTCATTAACAACAGATCTTTGAAGAACAGTCTGGAGCTCCGGAGGTAGCGATCTGTGATACTCTATCTTCCAGTGCCATGTATAGACGGAAGCTCCTAGAGTTCACCACTGCAGACAAAGCTCTCGACGAGTGTAAGTCGAAGAGGCTGCGTTCGGGTGATAGGAAATACGACGACTGCAAGGCTGCACGGGACCTGTCGAAACGAGAGTTTTTGGAAATTGATAGACAAGTACTATTATGGTCGGCACACTGCTGACCAATTTGTTAGTTTTTGTATCAGAAAATCATATCAGGATACTCTTGATAGGTTTTTGAATGGCTGTATACTCTCGAGGAATACAAAGGCGACGTACTGGACAGCACCCTGCAGACTCTGAAGTAACGCACTTCTGTTCACTGGCTGCACCCCTGGTCACGCGCTGTACGTATTTGTCAGATACCTACAGTATGAGTTCTTCGCGTCTTCTGCTCATGCTGTAGCCAACGTGCTGCCCACTCGGTGAGTGGGGATCTCCCCGTTGTTGCTTCTCTCGGTATGCGTCGTGGTTTTAGGATGGAGTTTCGGCCGATGGTAGAAATGACCCCCCAGTTTTTAGAAAGGCAGATTCAGCTTTCGATGGAGGTAGATGGTCTTGAGGAAGTTTGCTCTAATGGCAACTGCGAGCCTTGTTATCCATAGGAGGAAGATCTGGAAGAGAGCGACAGAAACAGTGATGAGAATTCGTCATCGGAGAACGAACTCAGAGGTCCCACCTTCGACGTCTAAAGCGTGATAGTGTGACCTTCGTTGACGTTGTTCTACTGAGAAGGACATTTAGGAGGCTGTTGATGTTAGGTATAGGTGGAGGCAGACATGGACCATTGAGTAACTTTTCCGATCGTCTCCTGGAGAAGATGCAGAAAGATGTAATTCCAACCACCACTTAGTTCTAAGGTACCTGTTCTTGATCAGGGTTTGGCCCCGGCATCGGAACCTGCTATTGCCGTTGACCCTCTGTCCCTATGCTCCCTGATGAGCCAAGGTGATGACTTTTTTCACGGGTTACCCGTTGTGTTGTTACTTTCTATAGCCATTGTTAAATGTTGTTACGTCTTTGTGTAGGCTTCGAGGAGGCAGCAGCCAGGAAGGCCCTACGGCATTGCCATAATGACACTCAGGCAGCTCTTGACTACCTCATCGGACGGCAACATGATAGTATGGGTAGAGCTGGTCTGAGGCCTGCTTCACGAGGAGGTGGGTGGTCGCTATTCGATTCTGGGAAACATGCGAGCTGAAGTACAGCAAGGAAGCATTGTCGTTTCCCATGTAAAAGGACTGTAGCCAGTTTGTCGGCCAGCTATGGTTGAGATTAGAGTCGTGTCGTCGTCGTTATAGACTAAAGTAGGGCATCCGAACCGTCTAATTGGCTAGGCTGGGCATTTGGTGGAAGCATGTCGTGATCAGATGACGGGGATGAAGACGAAGGTGGCGTGCCCCATGTGGAAGTGAGAATGCCAACTACTACGAAGTAACAAGGGAGAGCTACTGGAGTGCATCACGCCTATGCTAACCTCAGGCGTATCGAGAAATTGAAGGAGACGAAACGGAGGGTGATGGAGAAACGGGAAGAGCAGAAGCGGATCAAGGACGAAGTGGATAGGAGGATACGGGAGAGGCGGAAGGTGGGAAGCTCGTATTAGGGATTTCTGATCGCGGCGATACACTGGGAATTGCAAGTTTAACTGAAGGCGGTTACTATATAGGATGCGGGCTGATGCAGAGATTATCGGGTGTTGCATATCAGGGAAAAGAAGATCAACATCGACGGCGTCGGAGGCGACATAGGAGACATAGAACGCGGGATGGTGGGCGCAGCCCGAGCCACTCCGATGGCTCCAGTCCACGGGTAGGATACTCCCATTTAGTGTGGCGAAGTGTGAGATAAGTACCAGTACACGTTGTCTGGTTATCATCCCGAGATATGGCACAATTCTGGGGACACCTGTCTGACCGTTCAGGCTAAATGATTCCATCTTCACTCGTGATGTTAGTAGTAGTGACTTACTACTGTTGTTATAACACTGCCTTGGATATCTGCGTTAGACCATCTGCTGACTATAGTACTTTCCTGAGAGAAAATAAGCTCGTCTTGTTCTCAGGCATCGCACCATAGTGCGGTGAAGCTATCTGATCGTTCGCGATCATCGGGCAGTTCAGTCGATGATAGTACACACCGGTCCCGCGGGAGTGAACACAGTAGCAGTGCGGGTAGCTCCGCGGCGTCGGGACGGATGGATGCCAACGATGTGAGATCGTACCATTCGCATGATCGATTGAGATAACACTCGGCATTTCTATTCAGGTCGCAGCCTCGACGGACCTTTTGGAGATGCAAGACTCTCCCACAAGAGCGCCGAAACCGAGACCCGAGCACCGCGCCAGCTCAGACGATTTGCTGCAGCTCGGTGGCCCTGAGTGTGATGAAATTCAGCAGAAGTCCCCGTCGGTGAGTACAAACCAACGGTATGCTGTGAGAGCTTTCATCCTCGTTTCGAGGGACCGGATTCCCATGACTTCTCTCTCCTGATGCAAATGACCTTTGTATCGTTTCCAGGTTTCCTTAAGAGCGGCGATTGACAATGGCTCGTTGATTGGCGTTCTGGATTCGCCCAACGAGGCGTCTATCAGCTTTGACCCCCTGGCTCCATCCCTTAAGAACTCTGATGAGAACAGTAGTGCGCACAAGATTGGAGGTAATCATTTTCCTGATCACGTGACTACCTATAAACGTACTTGTAGCAGTACGAGAAGGCCTCGGGTCACATACGTACTCCTCAGGTTCTGTGAAAACGACCCACGGGGGTAGCGATAGGACACCACTGCCCTTGTTGACAGGTGACGAAGCCAGCGTGGCAGTAGCTAGGGCACGGCAGAAGGTGCGGTATTGTGCCCTCGGAGGCTGGCGTTGTTTCTGATCTGATGATGGGTCGTAATTCTGACAGGTACCCGAAGTGAGCAGTAGCAGCAGCAGTAGTAGTAGCGATGAGCGTGATAGGCTCAGCTGATCTGTCCTGGACCGGGTCATGGATTCTAGGATGAGTGTTTCATTGAATGTGTGTGTCTTGTGGCCTATTGATCACATTTCCGTACTCAACGTGTTGTGTGGAAAGTGCGGTATAGGTTGGAGTGCGTTACTGCGTAGTAGCGTAGTGCACGAATAGCCACGATTTACTCCTCGGTGTTACATTATCGAGCGAAAATACGTCAACTCAATCCATGGTTGCCTATTATATCTTCCCCAATAGATCGCACCGAAGTCGCGCGTTTGTGGAATTTTTGTCTTCCACGGATATCTTCGAACCGGCCGGACCGGTCTCAAGATTTGGGACAGAGCGGGACTCAGTCGTTGCATGTCGGGCAATTCGAACTTGACTGATTCGGTTCGGATCTGCTTGACGGCAAGTCGAATGCCTCTGATGATAGGACTAGTGAGGATAGCGGCGTTCGTCGTTAGATGGACCCAGAATCATTCAGGCTCCATACATCTCACACGAATTACTGCATCGCCATCCAAGACGAACACAGTGGTTTGAAGGAGCCTCGGAATGAACTCCACGCTCGACGAGAACTGATTCGCCGGACTCAAATTCCTACCGTAGGAGCATTTTGTTATGACCGCTTAGTTTGAAATGCCCATCCGATCAGCTTCCTCGTAAAGGGTCAGCAGATTGTCTTAAGTCCAGCGAGTGGATTGCACTCGATGTGACATCGACGATATCCTCTTACGATGGTGAGGCTGATCGTTGGCAAACATGACGAGATTGTGGGATTGGTGAGATTTCTTTTCTTCAAAATGCCTTGAGTGTTCGAGGCAGAGCTGAACGCCCGATATGACAATCCAATACCTGAGGAGTCGCTGGCGGTTTGCTATGATAGAACGCCAAATTAAAGCCATGCACTGCTCGTGATGGTAGGGCAAGACTATGAGCGTCAACCTCTTCCTCCAGATCCAGGCATTAAATGACAGCAGTTCGTCCGAACCGTGAAATCTACAACCCTGCGCCTTTCCATCGTCCCCGAGGCCCGCGTGAAATGCTGTTTAGTTGACTACAAGGTGTTGATTGGGAACTCATTCAGACCATTTGCACAATCAAGTCCCATGATCAGTCAATAGAGGGGTAATCGATAGAGATTTGCTAATCCTTGACCATAACTCAACGCCGCTGTGGCAGTTGCAAGAAATGTGCAGAAACGTGAAACACTTCGCTCCGCCCTTTGTTCCTCCTCATTGGTCTCCTAAGTTCAAGTACTCTTGAGTTCATGTCTGCAGCGACTCCTCCGCCAGCAGAGGCTACAGGAGAAGCCCCCAAGACCCCTGAGGAGCCCTCCTCCCCTGCCGAACCTGAGGTGTCCGAGCATCAACTGATTAGGAACGACTATGCTGGATTGATCATTGGTGAGCTATTGCCTTCCATCACTGCCACATTCGCTACTACTACTACCACCACCGGGCATCATCTATTAGAGAATGGCCCCTCGTGTTTTGAGTTATGAGTAACGGTCTTGGCACGAGGTGCTTGAGCACGATAGAATGAGTTAACCCTGGGGATGTCGATGGTGTGGCAACCACATAAGGACATACCATGCTGTCCCAGAGGGGCCTCTCCGTCCCTCAGACGACCTCTGATGCCTTAGGGTTGCCTTTCACACAGGATGGCTTACATGCTGGCTTGTCTGTTTAGGGAGGAACGGCGAGAGAATCAGTGGCATCCAGAACGAGAGTGGAGCCCACGTTCAGATCGACAGGGCCCCGGACGCTATGAACATGCGACGTATCGATGTGAACGGGCCCAAGTCAAAGGTCGATAGAGCAATGGAGATGATCAAGTCAGCGATCGCTGTAAGGGCCCTACCCTTGCCTCTTTTCTGTCGCAGTGTGGTGATTTCTGTAGGAAGCTGTCCGGCGCGAGAGATCCAGGAGCCCTGGTCGCAGTCATGGTTCGAATCCGCAAGGCATGACGCCTCCACCGCCGCCTCCACCGGTATCGATGTCGGCCCCTCCCCCACCACCTCCCCCTCCACCGTCCTATGGGGAGCACCCTAGGATCAATAATCATATGCCCTACGAGAAGGTGAACATTTTCATTACTATATCATGTTTGACTCTGTTTCTCATCAGATTTATGTGGATGAGTTGGACTTGAAGAACCGGTATCAAGGTGATCCCTACACTACCGTCGGTGTTCGATCGGACGATGAGCTTTTCATTCGGAACCTGCCCACCTCCGTCAGTGACAATGTAGCGGTCATTCGTTTTGTCGTAAACCATAGCGCATGCTCAGTAGTCGATGTGAGCCGACTTTTTCTGTCTTTCCAAATCAGTGCAGACTTAATGAACACTGATGGCAGGATTTTATACAGGCTTTTGCGTTGTACAAATCGGTGAACGGCTTAACGCCTAGGCAGTGTGTCTCGAGAATGAGATATTCAAGTGCTAGTTTAGGGAAAAATCTTCGCTGTGCGTAAGAATCTTTCCGTCATAGGATATCATGTAGGTTAGTTAGTTGAGGATTAGGTTCGGTCGAGCTGTTGCTATTCGTTCCTTGCAGGAGATCGGGGTATCGCTGTCGAAGTATGGGAGTATCATGGAAGTCTTCATCGTGCGGGATGGCGGTGCCAATCCTACGGACTCTCGAGGCGAGGCTTATGTCCTGTTCGAGACCCACGACGGTGCATCAGCATGTAAGGCGGCAATCGATGGGAAATATGCCTCTGAGGTCATCACTGGTGCCTCATCCACTGACGAGCCCATGGTGGTTACCTTTTCTGACAGTCAACGTATGCTGCAGGGCTCTATGGGGGCCTACCTCCACGACAACATCTTCAGTCGGCTGATGGGTCCATCTGGTATGAACGTGAAGCAGATTGCCTCCCTATGCAAGGCTAGGGTCACTCTTGCTGCTAGGAGTATGAAGAACTTTGGTTCGGTCTTCACTGACCCCAGGGTTCACATTATGGTCTATTACGACAGTGGCCGGCCCGCCCCTCAACCGAAAGAGTTGGTCCTTCAACAGGCCAGGGATGAGTTCACCAAGTTGGTCGATCATGTCCTGCAGTGGACTAAGGAGACCAAGCCTGTGCATAGGAGTGGCGGTAAGGGTTATGGCAGAGCAATGCAGCCTCCTCCACCACCACCGCCTGTTGGGGGACAACCACCGCCTCCTCCTCCACCACCACCAATGGGAGGTGTTCCTCCCCCACCACCTGGTATGGGAGGCCCTAACGGTCTTCCTCCCAGTGGTGGTGCCCTACTCGCGACGACGCCTGTGATGGTGACACTGAAGAACCCTCCTGGGCTGGATGTCAGCGAGTTATCGACTCTGAGGTCTGAGGGAGAGCAGTTCTATTTATCGAAGCCAGATGCAGCTCAGCCTACTGAGCGGGGATGGAAGTGTACCCCATTGCGGTGGTCTAATGAGAAGGAGCCCTTCGTGATCCTCCAACACAAGCAGACCGGTCGCCTTCGTATGTGCGTGTCTAGGTCGGACAGCCCGATGGAGGTGTGGCCTACGATGTTCGAGACTAGAGATGATCAGGCCTTGGCCGAGTCCAAGTTGGTCCCGATGATGCTTAGAGCTCCCCTCACACCTGGGGAGACGGCCGACTCTCCTGGACAGTATCTAATGATAGTCTTGGCCATACATCGCCCTACTGGTGCCGGCAGGGTATTCCAAGTCAGCGCTCCGAATCAGCCTTGGGTGCCCCTTAGGGACATTACCCCTGATGACGAGTGGTCGGTGACTCCCGGTGTCCGCTGTAACGTTAGAGTCACTCCGGTGTATATGCATGGCCGAACCTTCGTTCTCATTCAAGATGGTGATGCCTGCTCATTGAGGGAAATATGCGATCCGACTGCCGCTTGGGTGAAGGTGAACAGTTCTATTGCCAACGGTGATGTAGACATCTCATGCAAGTTGAAGATACTCTATGTCGTACCTCCTCCCTCAGGGACGTCCGAGGCTGACCATCCCTCGGTGGGAAACTTCCACACGTATGTGGCGTGGGTAGCCGGTGGGATGCTGCGTATTGCCAAGTTGCCTCAGTTCAGTGCTTTGGCCACTGACTCGTGGCAGAGGGTGGCAGCCGTAACGCTCAATACTTCCCCTCATACTCGTATCGCCCCCGTCTACCTACCCTATCTACCGGAGCCTCTGCTCCTCGCCACCTCAGCTGGTGACGCAGGTGCGGCTGGGACCATGCAGGTGTGGCGACTCTATCTCTCGGAGGGTCTTTCCTGTGATCGTCTTGTGATGACCCCCAACCCTAGGGTCGTCCGGCAGATGCAAGTGCCTCGGGTGACAAAGTGTAGTGTACGTGACTTGACCATGGATCTGCCGCTCACTGATTTGGCCGCTCCCGACCGGTACGATGGGAAGTTCGTGGGTAAGCGCTTACCCTTCGAACCGCCGATGCCTGTGAATATTCCCCCTCCTCGACCGGTTGATAATGATACTAATATCTTGTGGGTTCGAGAGGACTGTGGTTCGGCCATTGATGGTAGTAGCAGTGGCTCTCCATCGAAGACTGCTGGCCGTAAGGGTAGTGCGTGTTGTCTGTCAACTCTGGAGGGCCTCGATTTGGATATGAAGGCGTTGCCTAAAGAAGTGACTGCTGCTGGTCAGAGCTCCTCTAAAAGTATGCGAGTAACCCCATTAAGGTGGGCTCCTAATAGAGAGTGTCTTTTCGTGGTCATACAGGATGCCAAGCATCAGGCGACAAGGGTGTGTGCTGCAGACGTGAATCAGCACTGTGATAAGTGGACGACTCTGCTCGAGTTCGGCGACGAGGCGGTGCCTTTCTCTCAATGCCACTTCTACCCCTTCATGTTTTCCCCGGTTACCAGTACCTCTACTGAGCCCGATCTCTTCGTGATGGCCGTGCATAGAGCTAGTCAAAAAGGAGGAGTGTTCTTCATACAGAACCCTACAACGTCATGGCAGTTCGTCCGAGAGGTCGATGTACTGCAGGAGCCCGAGTTCTTCGACGCTTCTTGTGAAGCCGAAATTCTCTATCACCACTCTAAGGCCCCTGGCCAACAACAACAGGTCTGCACTTTCTTCATAGTACATACTGCTGACCATGGTACGTCCATCCGAGTAATCGCGGACCCTCAAAGGCCCACTGTGGAGATATCCAAACCCAAGGCGTTGAAGTCAGTAGAAGGTCCCAACTCCTCAACCCCTAGACCCGTGCCGCTCTATGTCTATGCTGCTCGTCGACTATCGGTTAATACCTGGCCGGTGGAGGTGTTTATGGCGTGGTTGGAGAAGCCTGGGTATTTGGTCATTGCTCACTTACCTTTAGCCGACGGCAAATGGACGGAAGTGTCTCGAACGAAGGTGTCCTCGTCGGCCAACGCTTTGGTACCGATCTATCTGCCCTATTATCAAGAGCCTCTACTGCTCGTGCAGAACTCGGATGAAGGAACTGTTGATTTGGTCCGCCCACATTGTGTCGAGAGCGCCGGTGGGCGCGTGAATTCTGCACGTTTTCTGATGAGGTACCGATTAGGTCCGGACACTGAGGGATTGTCTTTGGTTGACATCACGGCAGATAGTCCGCTGCAATGGTTGCCGCAGACTGGGGGACAGGTTATTTCCAATAGGCCTACCTACGATCGTCATCCCCTACCATGTGAGAGGGTAGGGCCAAGACGCAAACATGAATGTAGACTGTCGGTGAATGCCGCTACGTTGGGCAAGAGGAGACGGAAGGATACTGATGACAGCCACCGCGGAGGAGGTGACGATGGTGACAGTCACCATCATGACAAAAGGGAGAGGAGGAGTGTAGATGAGGACCGCTGGATGGGCGAGCACAAGAGGTACTACATTGGGTGGTGCTGGTAGCAAGGTTCGAGATTTATCACACTTCAGTCGATCTAGATCTCATGGAAGACATCGAGAAGACCATCGTCATCATCACAACAGTAGAGAGGAAGATGGTGATGCCCACCGCCGGTCGACCAGCCATCGGACCAGTAGCCGTGATAGGTAATATCACTCTCCGATCAAATCGCGTGAAGCTCTGCTGTTATCAGGTTAAGAACTGGCCGAGCCTCCGTGGACACCCGTAGGTCGAGTGAGCGAAGTGGTGGTGGTGGACGTCCCAGTCGACGCCGCTATGGCTCTCCGAGACGATGAGTATGATGCAGTTTTAAACGCCGCACGTCGAGGCACTTGCTATCATTTGTCCCTTTATTACCCTTTCCGGACGTGACTCGAGTTGGCCAGGGTTTTCGTAATAGTGGGCTGGGGTCATCAGTTGTGCGATGAATGACGGTAACATATCGACTCCCAGCGAAGATGTGGAAGATCTCAGCCCGAGAGCTGAGGGTAAATCTGGTGGCTACCGTCGCTCCGTGAGCCCTGTCGAGAAGTTGGACTACTATGAGATGGCATTGACCAGTCCCGATGAAGGAAGGTTCATCGAGGCCCTCAAAGGAAGGGCAGTGGGGAAAATATGGAAGATAGTGTACTGCGGGGTTGGCAGTTGAACCCACTTTGTTGATTCGGCGTGTTTGATAGTTACGATCCTCTCTCTGATACCATGAATGATTTGAGAGCTTTGGACAAGAACGATGAGAGAAGACACGCCGAGTTAACGGAGCAGTTGAGGCTTCAAGCTGAGACTGTATGTATGTATTTCACTGATTTGAAGCGCCGCGTAGTCGAAGTTCGAGGAGATGCTGAGGCGGATGCCCGCCGACTGTTGGACGGTCGGCTTGAGGTTGTCTTTGGCGACCTGGAGAGGTACGATGGTTGTTAATCTTTTCCCATAGAAAAGACTTATCCCGTTGGCAGATACGTCGGTACGTTTGTTGAGGCAAGTCACCTTGATCTCGCCATTGAGCATTACGAGAGGTGCATACTTCTCCTCGGCTCTCACTCGTCACCTGCTGCTTGCCTACTCTCTATCACAGCCGGTCTGCAGCGTCGAAGGCTCTCTAAGGTTTGCTATGATCTGCTCCGACATAACCCAGAGCGTGATGGGCCTGACGCTCTCATCTCCAAAATTAAGAGTACTGCTAGGCATCTGAACGAAGTTCCCGAGGCTAGCCGCCCCTTCGCGAAGTCGATCTTGGATGCGTGCATCTCAAGTCTGCGTGAGCAGCCCTATAGCCCAGAGCCATTGAAACTGGCGGGCTTAGTGATGGTCGACGAGCCGGCACGGACATCCCCTGGCACCTGGCATTGGTTGGTACTGCTGACCGCGGCAATCACTCAGTGTGCGTCCTTGGGGGGTGAACGTGGACCTGTGAAGTCGTTGATCTCGTCAATAGGAGCAACGTTGGCGTTAGAGCCGGCGATGGATGCGTGTCGTATCTCGGAGTCGGCCCTATGGTGCTCCCTCCTCCTCTGTCTCGAATTCATGGGGCCTTACTGGCATGGTGATGCCGATGTAGATGGGATCGTGAAAGCTCACTGTGCTGAATATGCGGTTAGTGCAGCAGAGGACCCTTGGACATTTACTGTGCTCACGGATATCTTCAATAAGAATATAACCCCAGCTGAGCTGAGTGGAAATCCGAGCGGTACTATGGCGAGTAGGCTGGTCCAAAGTTGCCTTCACATCTCGACAAAGACTAAGACTCGCGGTGTCCTCTCGATTCCGAAGGAAGTCAGTCTCAAGAGAATTGCCGAGCCGATGGTGGATGACCAGTCGGAGAAGGGTGACGCCAGGAGGTCTGAGAGCAAGAAGGGAGAAGGCATCGCACATTCGAAGGCAGTCAATCATCATCGATCGCCCTGGGCTCGATGTCGGACAGATAGATGGGTGAGTTCAGGGAAGATATCAGGAGTATCATTGTTTTATATTTTAGGGGAGTTTCTTGTCGGAAGGTGATCCTGATGATGAATCGACACGTAGACGGACTGCAGTCGTGAGGTCACACGCGCCTGGTAGACATGAGAGGCCGTCTGAGAGCGAGTATAAGCCTCTTGTTCTAATTGATGGGCCCAACGTGGCCAACAGGCATGGGGGGCAGCAGTTCACATGTAAAGGCCTGCAGATATGCGTCGATTACTACATCTCTAGAGGCCATGAGGTGAGATCCCAACGGTCGCTCTGTGGTTAACTTCCTCGCTTCTCCATAGGTTATGGTGTTCCTCCCAGACTACTTGGTCAACCGTAATGAGCTATTTAAACTTCGTAATGCACAGAAGATGCGAGTCCAAACGGTACACGGTATCAAGGCAGCTCCTACTCACATACCAGTGGACAATATTGGCATTCTTCTGAAGCTGCAGACTCAGGGTAGACTGGCGCTGACTCCGTCGAAGGTGATTTTGCTCAAGATGGTCTCGAGGGTTGAAGTATTCCTATTTTCTCAGGATTATGACGATTCCTACTGTCTACAATATGCTCATAGGAAGGATGCTGTAATAGTCTCCAACGATATGTACCGCGATTGGGTGAAAAAGCAGCCGTCGTGGAAAAAGTCAGAGTCGATTCTGTGGTTGCGTACCCACGTTATTAGTTATACTTTCGTGAAGGACGAATTTATGCCCAACCCGGACTTTTCAATGCCGGTCCCGAAGGTCGAGCCACCAGTGTGAAACACTTCTGTGGTTGAACATACCCTACGTGACGGAAGGCGAAGCCGCGGAGCCTTTGACACAAAGCAAGAAGTGATTTGCACGGCTCTAGTTTACCACTGTGGTTAAGTCTCTGCTCTGGCTGGGTGATTCGTACCGTTCTTACCACATCTAATAACAGTGTATGAAGGGAACTACACGCTCGAGTGTCGCAGATGGTTGGATTGGTTATAGGTTATATCTTTTGCAGACTATAATTTATAGTAGTCTACCACCATAACCTATAGTTGATGCTGATAACAACCGACGATGTATACCATTTACAATCTTTTGTTATTTTCACAGTTAAACTAGTTAAGTCATCGAATACTTGTATAAAATCGCTGGAATTGTCGAGTTGTGTTGATGATATAACGAGTGAAGTCACTTGAAATAAATTTGTTGTTGCCTTGAAACTCTACGTTTGGTTAATAGTCAGTAGTGATTCTAGTGGGTTAATAATCGGGAGAGTTACAGAAACCCGATGGTATGTATCAAAGACTCACTACATCATGTCTCGGTTATTCATCTCTCATCGTGTTCATGGGGAGAGGATGGGATGTATACGAATTGGCGTATGCATCTTACACTGCTCGCCGTTCAAATCCAGGCTCAGCACATAAGGAGAGAAACTATACCTCGCTGATGAACCAGAAGTGACTGTCTAACAGTTACCTGACAGTGACACTCGATGTCATCACCGTTCTTCACAGATTCGCTAACGTCGGCTTAGAGCCGTGCATTTCGAACAGTGCTGAGTTATAAGGTAAGAGCGGAGCTGCTTACTTGTGGCATGATAATTGCCGATATCAGTGGACTCCTCCAGTGAAGAATAATTAACAACAGAAAGTTCAATGGGCAAGTTGAAGTACGTTGTTAGTTACGTTAGTTATACACAGCACATCGTCATCCGCAGGAGTGTTTCCGAGTCTTCGACAATCTCGTCTGGTACATCATCCGACCACGCGGAAAGGTCTTCGACTGCGGGTAGTCGACTCATCGCCTCTAACGCTTCGCAAGGAAGCTTCATCAGCGCTTTTCTATTGCCATGTAACAGGATGGAAATGATGGCTATACGTGACTTCCACGTCAAGCCAGTGCAGCGTGAGGCCATCCGGGCGAAGGCAATGGCTTGAGGCGGGCAGTATTCGCTCACTGACAACAGCGCAGCCTCCAAGTCCTTGACGATATCTGGTGGTGTGATGGCAGGTAGAGATTTCATGGACGCTACGGCTGTCGACAGCAAGCATTCATCACTAGGCCTCTGGCTTAGTATACGCAGGACGCAGGTCGGACTGAGTTCCACACCCTCTAGTTTTCGCATGAGGCTCGACGGGGCCCAACGAATGTACCGAGGCAACGTAGTAGAAGCGAGAGCACGTAGCGATTGAGCATCGCCCAGACCGAAGTAGAGGTCGAGCAGCCCGACCAGAGTGGGGTGTATCGGTAATCGCGATAGCAGAATGTCAGCAATCTTCAACGCTCGAGAACGCACGTTAGATACCTGAGAGAAGGTAGTAAGAGTAGAAGCTGTGAAGTCGGAAGTATCTTACATGGGCCTTGTCTCGGAGCAAGTTGTAGCACCACTCGACCACAGCATGGTTCTTCACGAACTTCACTAAGGCCCCAGGCCTCGAGGAGTAAAATGTTGTAATGTTGAGTAACTACAGAGCGAGAAGTGTCTAGCAACAGCAACGACTATGACTACGATGTCGAGGGCATGGCACTCCAATTGGACATCCGTTTGTGTCACGTCGGCCGTGAGAGCCATAAGGGCCTCCGGGACTCGACGTTTCCCTAGTGGACCGGTCACGGTATCTACAGGGGAGAGCATCCTTCTATCACGAGTGCTAAGTAGAAGAGGTGCCAACCTGGTGTTATGTAGTCCGGATGCGTCGCTGTGGAGAGGACCTGCAGGATCCACCGTCTATGGTGGGTGCAGTTACTGACACTTTTCGAGTAGAACAAGTCGAACCAGAGGGGTATGTCTGCTGTGTCAAGGGAGGGCCTACGAGGAAGATCCATCGATCATAGCGAGCTCCTCCTGAGTCTCACCTAGCCAAAATGCCATGGCACACCTCCTCGTACTCTGGCGACTCCGGGCGTACCACAACTGCGGCCATCTGCGCCACAGCATGGGCTAATACTGACGGCGAAGGTTCGTCCGTCGACTCCGGCAGTGCATTGAGAAAGGCATGCAGGAGGAAGAGCACCTGGAGGGCACTCATTCTCGCATGATTCAGAGATGTTCAATGACGTACCTCGTGGGCATCTCTGAACCCGAGGCGTATCCCACTTTGATCTCGACCTTGGACCTTCAGTTCGAGGCAGCCGACTACCCTCCCAAGAGAACCACGGGAGAGATCTCTCACGATCTTGTCTCTGCTCGACGTGGCCAACACCAATGCGCCCAAAGCCCGGCCGCCAGAGCAGATCTCAGTGACAAGAGAATCAAGCTCAGCCGCTGGTGTATAGTTTTGCCAGTCCTCGTCTGTGGTTGTCGCTTCGGCTCTCCTCAGGCGACCAGCGGTGAAAACCGTGAAGGCATCTATGTCGAGTGACTCAGAGCGAACGGAGCTCGCTATGGAGAGGCTGAGGCAGCAATGATAGTTCAATTGGAAAAAGGCCAGTAAAACCTACTTGTTATCCAATAAGATGTCGGGTACAGGAAGCCTGTGACACTCCTTAGCAATAGCCCGAGGTATCCGGGAATCAGGTCGATACTCAGCCTTCCGAGAGAGCTCATGGAGGCAGGCCATTTCCAGTATCACTTTCAGTAGAGCCTCGTCGTTATCTGAGCGGCTCATGCCCCACAGGCTGACCAGCCGCTGTAGTAGGTGTGAGTACTCCTCACAGGGTGTGTACGGGACAGCGAGAAGGACAGAGGCTTCATCACGGAGCGTCTCGTCCGACAGGGAAGGTATGACCTTCTCATACCAGTGTTGGCTAACGCTGTCCTTGACCGCCTCTTGTCGAGCTAACTGGCTAGCAACAGCAACAACTGTGGACGCAGAAACCCGATCGGATTTCACAAACTCGTCCAAAACTGCCTCGGGAACTGTCGTAGTCTTGAGAACACTCTGGAGCGTGTCCTCATCCAAGGCCTCGTCAAGAAGGTCTAAACGTCCCATATCCACCCACCACTGGTTGAGGGTAGCGTCACCCTTGGATAAGACAGTAGCAGTATCCAGAGAGCTCAGGTCCAACAGCCCCTGTGGTAGTTGCGGCAGTACACCTTGGGGAATTTTGTCAAGCTCTGCCGATACAGGACCGAATTCCTCAGCCAGAAGGGAGGCCCTCTCGGGTTTGTCATGAACGACTAGAGCACAGCAAGCGGCTAGGACACAGCGCTGGAAGCGCCTATCACCCCACTTCCTCCTCAGCTTCCTCGGCTTATGTTGGAGGTAGTCGGCTGTCTCTACAGCAATCTCCTGCCGGTACTGACAGACTTGTACTAGGACCCTCGGTGTCAGCAGCCAGAGCAGACTATGGCGGAAGGTGTCAGAGGCGATGCTGGCAATGGCAGCTAATAAGGAGGCGTTCTTACTGAGGACTCGGTCGAGGCCAGGAACCTCCTCCCGACTAGCAGGAACGGAAGTGAGCAGAACCTCAAGGGCGGCCTTAAACTGCCCTTCATAGGCTAACTCGTCGACTACGGCAGCCACTAGTGTTGGCGTTTTCGCAGCAGGCGTCAAATCAAGTTGGTGGTTCAACGGACGGGCGAGCAAAGTAGCCAAGGGGCCGCCCTCCGAGGATGAGCCGGTAGTAGGGCTGTCCTCCTTTGGGCTCTGCGACAGACGCAACTCCTTCAACAGGTCGCTCTGGTTATCACATTTCCCGACGAGGTGCTCCCAGTCTTCTACAGAGGCATCGCTCGATCGAGCGAGTCTTAAAACAACGTCAGTAACACAACAGCTATGCCCAGGAGGTTGGGGCCTGCCAGTGAGGGCCTGTTTTACGAAGTCTGATACCCATGTGCCAACAGGCAGTAGTGGATGCTGTGCCAGTTCTTGCAAGACAGCAACGACCCAAAGCTTCTCTTCCCTAGAAGGTAAGGTTCCCCACAGTCTAGCCTCCTCGTAGGTCGTGAAGTGACCAGTATCAAAGAGACTCTGACAGAACTCTTCTTCCGCCGCAGTATCAACCAAGTGTCTCATCCAGGAGAGTTTGCTCTTCCCTAGAGGGAAGCCAGCGAGGACTCGTACGGTCATTGGGAGGAGCACTGCTCTCTGCACAGGCTCACGGCACTCCATGAGAGCTCTACCCCAGTCGAACTTACATTGGAGGAACCTACCAGGTAAGGCGGTCTGATAGGCGCAAATGCACTGAGACCAGGCCAAGTAATAAGGAGCGCTAGTTGAAGTAGTCCCCGGCTTGGCATTGAGGATGCTCTGCATGTCCGGTAGATGTCCAGCAACAACATTCAAGGCCTGAAATGAACCGTTCAACGTCCTGCTACAGAGCTGAGACCTACTGTGTTGTCCTTGACATGATTCCGAGTAAGCCTCTTTAATGCCGCTGAGACCAGACCAAGCGTAGCACTGCGTACCAACACCTTCCCTTCTCCGGAGAACAATAACCCAGCGGTGAGCTCAGATCGATTGAGGCATGCAGGTAAGTAAGGCGGCCCGCAAGGCGTGGGATCATCCAATAACTCCACAGCAGATGACACAGCCGCCAGCCATCGTAGGGAAGGACTCGGTGCCAAAGCCAGCGAGCACTTATCCGCTATAGTGTGCCAGAGAACAGCAGACTTGTGCGAAGAGAGAGCTCCCACGAGGATATTGGTTTGGGAGTCACAAGGAGGTTTCATTGCTGCCAGAGCTGCCCCGAGGCCTTCCATGTCCCCTTCCCAGAGGGCATGGTTGGTGGCAATGGCCGTCCAGAGGGCCTCGGCAGCGTCCATCACTGACTCCTCAGTGGCCTCGACCACCACTCGGGACAACCGGGGAAGGAAGAACTCCTGGTCCGTGAATAAGCGACTCTTCCGTGACTGAACGATACGGCCATTCTTGAGGTTGAAATCTTGAGGGAAACTCACCTTAGAATTGGCCAGAAAGCGGCCAAGTGCCTCGAGTACTGCAACCTCAGCCTGCCGCATCCTCTCCAGAGCAGCACCACTATCTCTCGAGCCGCTTTCCTCTTGGTCTCGACGCTGGGGAACTACGCAGCCCTCGTTGCCACTGCCAGCCAGGGCTCGACTCAGGAACGGTCGCCACATCTGCACAACAAGACTAGTCGAAGAGCCTTGCAACGTTGTAGTAAACCGACGGGGTGCAGGACCAGCTGAGCTGCAAGATCCTTATTGGTTTCAGCTGCCTTCAGGATAGCCACTGTAAGCAGGAGGCCTTGTTCCCGTACTGTGTCACCTTCGGCCTAAACAGTAATACTGATACATGGCGTGGTAGAATTATCGACTACCGTGACTCGACGCCGGCCAAGCAGCCTCGAGAGAGCTTTCCATCCATGCTCTACTGTATCATTAGCAGCAGTCCCCTTGCTGTCACGGGTAACAGTCCAGGTGGCTACAGCAGTACTAGCTTGGAGAGCCACTCTAGGGGAGAACGAGAAGAGCCCTGAGCAAACCAGGGATGCCCCATTGCTTGCTACGATACGAAGTACCTCTAAGGAGCCTCAAAGCGCCTATGAGGGCCCAGTCTCTGGAGGTGTTTAATACAGAGAAGAGACAGCGAGAGGCGAACATCGTAGAGGAGCTGAGAACTCCCCTGCACACGGCGTTTCCAGTCGCCGAGGAACTTGGGAATCTGTTGTCAACACATGCCAGCAAGGTCCATCCTGAAGGATACGGTGGTTGAGGCTAGGCAGGGTAGAGGTTACCTAGTAGCTCTACGAGGAACAGCGTGGTCGTCCCTATGGTCCTCCCATCTGATTGTTTCTTCCTCTCAGCCAATGCAAAGAGCTCCTCGCATACCGGAGATAGAGCAATGTAACGCGCTGAGCGACCACACAGCGTCACAAGGAGTCGGCTGGCCCGCTGATAGCATTACTAAGTGCAGCATAGTCTCCCTGACGGCAGCGGTATACTGCTGTCTTCAGAGCCGCACATGCCTCCTCCTCCGTCCCTTGCAGCTCAGCGATGAATCTATGGACCTATCCAGAATTACTAGCATGGTACTAGGCTACTACACAGTCCGACCTGCTTCTGTTGAGTTCCCATTGCTGCAGCACTAGCTGTGAGGGCCGAGTCCTGTGCAGGGCCGGCATCACCATCATTCATATGGGAGAGTGCCCAAGCGGCAGCTTCCTCCTAAGAAGAGGGAGACTAGACTGTATATATAAGCACTGGTTTACCACTCCAACAGCTCTTCCTACTGGACCATCTGCGGATGACTTCAGCTCGAGAGTGGCCATCTCGAAGGCTCGAGAAGGGCTGATCAACTTCACAAGACACAGTGTGGCTTCGGCCTTTGAACTCGACATGGGGATATAAGGAAACAGCAGGCACGACACGTCAGATGAGCGTCGGGATGATAGGCCAGGCAAGCCCGACCTTATGCCTTCTTTCTCCAATTGAATGCCTTCGACGTGATGGAATAGGCCTCGAAGCGGAGTCTCGCTCCCACGTCCTCCCTATAGCTCGCAGCCTCCTCACTCCATGCTGCAGCAGTCCTGTTGAGCCGCTGACCACCACCCTTCTCGACCAGCCGTCCTAACCCAGTCGTCTATTGCACTGAAGCCCGTAAACCTGCATTTAGCTACCCCGCACACGGTCCAGCTTTTGATCAAGGAAAGCATTGTTCTGATTCCCTGCGGTAGCCAGCTCATGCCGATACTTTGAGAGTCATTCTCCAATCTACACTCGATGTCTTCCTATACTAATAGCGAGCGCGCAGCAGGTGCCTCAGCTGTGATCCAACTGCCCGCCTTGCATCGTCTTCGTCATAGCTATAAGGTCATCCTTAATCGACGGCAACGAGGCCTGATCACACAGGTAAGATAATCCGTGAGCATGCTCAAACTAGGATTGGGTTGAGAGTGTCCCAAAGTGAGTGCTGGTGTTCAGACGAAAGGCCTGTACAAGACGACCCTCTGAAGTAGCAACTCGCTACTCCTGCAAATGACCAAGTTGAATCGAACAGTACCGAATTCGCCACTTTCCAGTATGCCATGCTTGCATAGAGCCGCTATTGTGATCAGTTAATCATTCCAGTTCTACTACCGTCTCAGCTGGAGCCTTGAGTTCCTCCCTGAAACCATCCCCATCCGAATGGTGGTACATCCTCATTGTTATCAGCCGCATACTCCTTGATAGAGCACAACACTCCAGCAAGTGTTGCATAGTGTGAATGTTTAATACATCGGTAAAACTGATAGATCACCAAGTCCAACTCCGTCCTTATGGCATCGAGACTCAACTCAAGCCTCGAGGCAGGATAGCCGCCCAGTGAGACGAAATGAAGGAGCAAAAACCTCCCCCAAGCAGACTACGGACGAAGCCTTCGTCTACTGTTGGGGAAACGATAATGTTTTTAACATCAGCTGTATGTCAAAATTGGCAACGTATATACAAACTTCTCTGATCTGTAACAGACATGAACTTCTTGAATGACCAGGGGAAGAGGAAACTGCATGATGCAAGCAGATTCAACCCCGAGGTGTAGCAACAGTGATGGAGATATTAACATAGGTAGGTGCGAAACTAGGGGATATAACCATGGCTAGACATGTCCTCGGATGATCCATGGGATCTGCCCAGAATGATTCATCGGTGTTCGTTGAGTCAGAGTGGTCCGCTCACCTGCTACGTTGGCGATGAGGAGTGACCTTGGCGGTTGGTGTGGTCATCCACTCAACCATCTTATCTAGCATGTGTAGAGTCGGAAACTCCCACAGTGGTTTGCAGCCGCCAGCTACCGCGTAAAGACTACCACCGTCGAAGCACTTGATATCGTTTGTTAGGTCGACATCCTCGCGGCTCTTGTCAGCTGATTTTACTGGGAAATTGTGAAAACGAAAGCGCACCTATGGAGGAAAATATCGCTCTACTAAGACACACACAGACCTCTCCCACCTGCTCATCGAAGTACACCTTTTTGGTCCCCTCGAGCGAGGCCATTGTTGAGTCTGACGCGGCATCGTCGGAGTCTCCACAAGGAACCCCCGAGTTGAGCCGCGCGTTGCATACAGCAGCAAACAAGCGAGTGTCAAGTGGCGACTCATCTTCACAATCGTTGTCACTATTTTGCTGGCACACGGGGACGGACGGGAGCTGCTGAGCAACATCCTGAATAGTTGAAGTGAACATCCAGAGTACCTCATCGTTCAACTCTGAGTTCTTAAAGCGGAGGGGATCGGCTGGGGCCCGAGCGGGGATAGGTAGCATGAGAGACATATTATGAAAAAATACAAGAGAAAAAACTATCATCAGAGGCCTAGAATAGTAACAGGATAACACAATACTCAATACCCGTTGAGAATATCAAAAGCAAAAACATGGCCACGCGGGCTCACACGCGGACCAAATTCCGACTTCAAGTTAAAGTCTTCCTCAGCCCCAACCAGTCTGTGAAGATCTCAGCTGGGTTTATCGATCGACTGTGTCCAGGAAAGGCTTCACTTCTTGATCCGGTTTATCTGGACCCCAAATCATTGAGCAGTCCTTCTGCACAATAAGAAACAGCCCCACCCCAGCGCTTCAGAGTCAGCGTCATGTCTGAACCCGTCCTCAAGCACAGACTAAACATCAATTATGTCAACTGCTCGGAGACTTTGGAGCATTGATGATATTGAGATTACTTCGATAATGGTTGGCACTTTCTGTTTAATATCATCCAATTCGTCGATCAGTTACTCATTACCAACCCTGGTCGACTCTAACTCTTCACACTCCTCATTCCTTCCAGTGATCTAGAGCAATGACGATGTCCTTCATCTCAGAGATCTAAGCGCCTCAACCTGGTGAGCTCTTCAATCCTCCAACCAACCTCTACTAGCAGTACAGAATGGCAATTATTGTGACCAGACGGAGGGTCAGGATGAGAGTACCGGTGGGGTCCACACATTTATACGCTATAGGCAGCAGCCAACTGAGAGCTCCTCCCAGAGAACAATATCATATCACCACAACTCAGTAAATTTGGCTCATCTAAAACACTCGAGAAACCTAAACAATCTTCAGAACGGCAAACAAAAGTAAAGCTTCACAGTAGGAGACCAAGTCCTGCCCCTGTGCGGCGCCCAAGCATGCGCGGTAATACCAAACGCTGCCATAGTAGGAGGAGACCTAGACTGGCCGATATCCCACCGCCCGACAGCCACACGAGGAACTGAGATAGACACGAACATGGTGACGTGAAGAGGGGATAAACGAAGACCTTGAAATCAGAGGGACGACTAAGCAGCATTCCGAAGACTCCCATGAGCATCTCCAACAGCTGGCATGTGGCCGCTTGTGTTGCTGTTACCTCCGACTGAACAGAGACGTAGTGAGTACCAAAACATAATGGTGACCCATGAAGGCTTACCCTTCGACTCTGTGGTACAAACTGCTGAATAGTAGCTACATTGAAGAGGTCCACTTGCCAGAGAAAGAGCCTCGATAGGACTATCATTGTGAGCATAAACACTGTCTCAATCCTGAGCATATGATCATCCTCTTATCGAGCGTCCAAACTACTACGATGTATGAAAGGCGAACTCGATAGCGATAAGAGCAATGCAGCTCCAGAAGGCCCATAGTGCGAGGCATCCAGCGCGGACCTAGAGCGTGGAGTGACCGAACCACACCATGCTCTACTCACACTATCATCATTGCAGGACTTCACGACCATAGGCCACATGAGTGTAGCCATTATTCCTCCGATGCTCCCAGCCGCTCGAGCGATACCCAGCGACAAAGGCGACATATTCTCCTCGGCGAGGAACGCCGTTGCTGAGGGCGCTCAAAGTGAGCTGGAATAAACAAGAGAAAAAGGAGCTTACTCAGTGGGTGATGATCCGATAGAACGGTGAAATGCAGGAAGCAAAAACTAAGTGAGGCCAGAAATACCGGGTCGTGGTAGTACCTGTTGGCCCGGAGCTCCACCGAAGAACCAAAGCACTAGAATCTACATCTCCCAACTTCGCCACAGTACTGCCAGCATATTATTTCTCCTCGGTGAATCGTCGATTGTCGGAATAGGTTTGACCCTTAGTCCTGGATAGGTCTCATAGACGCCTCTCCATAGAGCAAAGACAGGCCATGCAGTAAGTACACTCCAGCCTCCCACTGCGAAGAGCCCTCGTACTACGGTGCCACGACCACCAGTCTGAGCAGGACACCTCCGACTGAGCCGACCAGCCGAGCTAATATCACCAGTAATAGTCCAATGACCAAAGGGCTGCCCATTTTGGCTGTGAGATCGACTCTACGCATGACGCTGTTCAAGTGGGTCTGCAACTCTACAGGATTAACGGTAGGATCCGATTCGCTGACACAGTGAAGTAATCCAGTTATAAGCCGTGATCATCGCAATGAATATCCTGGTGATGCAATACGATCTATAGTAAAGAAAATACTATTGCATCTAATACCCTATCTTACTGCTGCAAGGTCTCTCGAATCGTTACAATGATGATAGTGACAGTGATCCATGTTATTCTGAATATCCTTGATCACCAGTGAATACAATACTGGAGTTCCACCCGTTTCACGTGAAGTGGCGTAAAACTCGGTGAAAAACGCGATATTTGCGGAATGCAGTAGTCGTAAAATATGTTTTTCACTGGTGTTTTTCATATCACGGGTGAAACTCCGCTCCTACTCATTCCATCAGATTTGCCAGAAGCAAGCTATACAACTGCACGATCGGATTTCAGATCCTCAGCCCTGTTACAGATCCTCCCTGCATATCCAACCCATACTAGTACTACCACAAGTCCTCCACAATTATCATAACCCAATTCTTCTCTACGTTGATCGTCGCCACTGAGGATATCACATCACCCGTTACTCCCACCAGTAAGAACATTCCCTGAGCAACCAGCGCAGTTCAAGGCGATAATAAAGCAACAAGCAACCCACGAAGACAAGGCCAGAGCCGAACGTCCAAGGCTGTTCACTGTGAGAGTCTGTCATCATGTCCAGAGCATACAGCAGCATCATCGAGATGGCGATACCACCGTTCTGGACGAAGGACCCGATCTTCGCTACCCTCAGCCGATCAGTGCCTGCCAGCCGTGCATATACTTCAAGATGATGATCATGCATACTATTCCATAGTGAAATGATTCTACTCGAGACACTAACGCTATGAGTTGCCTTTAATCGATTTGCAATTCAAACGCGAACTCGAGTAAACCATTTGGCAAGGAGGAGACCCCCTTATTGGCGTATTACTGTCCACAAGCCTTCCCAGAAAAGGTAATAGGACCGCCTTGGACAGCCCTGTGAAGAACACGAATATGGCTGTAGGTAGAAGTGTGAAAGGGAATATATCCACCAGCATCAGCGGCACCGCGAACTGAGACGACGACAGCTGACCCATCCAAGCAGCAACTCATCAGTGGAGACTACCTGCCATATTCTGTCACCAATCGTTGACAAAGCGTGGGATACATAGAGCTGCCAGAAGGGCGACATGTGAAGCGACCGTAACAAACTTAGCAAGAAAACTGCTGTCCCTTACTACGTCTAACAGTAAAACGAACGCCTGCCTAGAGCGGTCAGGGTCTAAAAGGCCTAGGGTCCTGCCTAGGGTCTAAAAGGTGACCCTACTGCCTAGGACATATGCCGGTATGAAGCGGCGGGAAATAAATCCCGCCTTGTGATTTGGATGGCTTGCCTAATTCCCCAACCGATGCGAAGAGGACTTTTTATTTCTAAACATTTGAAGAAATTATCTCTTAGGGATGCGTAATATATCATCCGACAGGCGAGATCATTCCGAATCCATTCATGAACTTGCTCACTGAAAAATCATCTGCGTTGAAAAGAGTTCACGGGAGATAGGAAAAATCAATGAGTGAATTACCGTGTGACCAGGAATTCGTAGAACTCTGGTTCCTAGATGACAAGTAATAGCTATCAGTGCATTTTAAACCGTCCGATACCCCTATAAACTACTGACCTGAGGGACCGGCCACGCACAGATATTCACACTTTGAATGATTCAGATCAGCCCTGGACTATTTTTTGACTCCACTTTATTGCGAACAATCGAATAGTTGAAAATTACATCCGAGTTGAAAACTGTAAAAGTCGTAAAAGCTAAGGACTGTTTTCAAATAACATTGAACAAGTAGGAAGGGTGGGACCGACAGAGGTTGACGAATCCAAGGACGAGAATATACGCGTTAGACTGCTGTTCCTATCCCCGCTATCTCTCCCCAGCAGCTAAAATGTGAGCGTTCCTACTTACGAGGAAGGCTCGAGCGACTCCTTTGATAAGTTGAACGCCTTACAGTTGCGGGGTGACACGGCCATCTCACCCTCTGAGCTCCCAAGACGTTAAACCGTCGCGAAGCGATACCAATAGCTCGCCATACAGTCGATCTCGGTCCTGTAACCGAACGGCTCTTACAACTACTGTATAAGACTAGAACGATAGGAGGAGGACAATCCGAAGTGTGCATCGACTCCTAAAGACATAACTCAACTGGCTTCAACCAAGCTACGTATCGGGATAATTAGACCGGTGAAGCGGAGAGATCGAAAACACGAAGGGTCATGATTGTATACGTCCGTCTCTGACTGCGATGGAAGTGTAAAACGCCGACATGTCTCCTCCCATACAGCCTCTCGTGCATGCGTGCAAGAGTAGAGCTGGCAGGAATAGATCTTCGCCTCATATTGCCGAATTCCGAGCCACCTTGTGACGATCCCCCACGAGCCGTGGTTGCATTCGGGTCCATATGGGAGTCATCGACATCGACAGGAAGCGCAGCGGCAGATGTCATGAATTGTGAAAATCGCGCGCGCCCTGAAACGTACGCCCCGAACGCAAGTTGAGACCCATCTCAGTTGAATGCATGTCAATATCTCCGTTACCAAGTAGTAGCAGTAGTGTACTCACTACACTAGCACCAGTAGTATGCAGCCGTGTTCTTCCGCGGCCTGCCTTTACTCTGTGTTCCAAAGCTATTAAAGGACAGTCTTACGAGGGCTGGCTCTGCGCCGAGAAGTTGGACGGCGTCAGGGCAATGTGGGGACGTGGGAGGTTTCAGAGCCGCTACGGCCTTACGTAGGAACACTAGCGCTGTCGCTGTGGGGAGGCTTCACTGTAGGTTCCGGCCGCCACCTTGGTTCACTGCCGCACTGGACCGCCATCTGGGACCGGACATCTTCCTCGATGGCGAATTGTGGATGGGCCGACACACTTTTTCTGAAGCTGCAGGTATATTGAGGAGACAAAGATGCCAGCAAGGTTGGGCCAAGGTGAACTTCTGGAGGAGTCCCATGGGTCTCATAGACGACCTTATGTCAGGTCCAGTATCACATTTATGACCTAGCATCGCAGGAGACGGCTCACCTGCCTTATGAGGAGCGGTTTGAACTCCTTAAACATCTTTTGCAGCCGATTGGCGTCCATTCTGTCGGCAAATCTTCGGCAAATCTTGCGAGTGCGCTGGATGGGAATCTTGAGAGATCTTGCGTGGATCCTTCGGCTCGCGAGGTTGGGCATATTTTTTTACACCAGCCGTTCTGTACATTATCAGCTGATAGCGACATCGCCGGCATCTGTGAGGAGATGGTCAGAGCTGGTGGGGAGGGATTGATCCTGCGGGATCCACAGGGGAAGTATCTTTCTGACAAGCGGAATCCAGGCATAGTTAAAGTGAAGCTTCACGATGATTCAGAGGCACTAGTGATCGGCCACCTTACTTATCAAGGGCGAGGGAGTGACAGAGGGATATCCTCGCTGGTTGTGGTCGACAGAGACAGAACCATCTTCAAGCTTGGATCTGGTCTTACTGACGAGATCCGTAGAGATCCCCCACCGGTAGTATCACCGGCCTGTTCCGTGGCTTGAACTGTCCTTGTTCAGGTAGGAACGGTTATACAGTATAAGTATTCCGAGATATCGGCCTTGACGGGTCGGCCTCGCTTCCCGGTGTACCTAAGGGAGCGAGTCGACATGTCTAAGGAGCGTTTTTTGGAGGAGATGAGGCGTCCAGATCTGTCAGAAGGATCAACATGTGGCGAGGATGAGGAGCGGGGGTGATCCTGCGGAAGTTTGGACATTAAATTGACTCATAGGCTCTCAAAGGGCCCCGTACCATAGCCTTCACTATTATTATATTACGTGAGCAGTTCCTTTTACCGGATTGGCCGATGTAGGGTTGCATTGGTAGCCGTGTTTTACGATTTTTTCATCAGTTTGTGTCGTACTTTCCTCCCGCCAACGTTACTCCTCCAACGCCATCATTCATGTGGGGACGGCAGTCGTTTAGTGCCTTACCCCGACTATTCAACACCCCGTTGGCAGTGGTTGTGTCCACAGGAGCGGCGGCGGCTGCTTGTATGTGCTCGGACATAGGCGACAACGGTAATGGGAAGAAGACACTTGCAGAGGAATGGGAGAACATGAAAGCTCACAAACGGATGAGGGCCTTCCATCGGTCCTACACGGAGCACATACGGGTAGTGGAGGTGACTGGACATGGTGACACTGTGTGGACCAGGTGGAACTAAAATCTGATCGACCGCGGCACTTTGATAATCCTACTGTACTTGCTTCGACAGTGGGAGCATGCTCTGTAGCAAGCAACAACCCCAACGAGGATCGATTTATACGGACTATAGTAGGCCGGTTGTTCCGAGTCAATGGAAATGGGCGTTCGTATAGGTCTCTGAGCAAAGCGGTGTTATACTCGCAGCAGTTTTTGATGGTCATGGTGGTTATCATGTTGCCGATTATGCGGCTGCCTATATGCCCTCCTTCATACGTTCAATAATTGGAGAAGGTAAAAGCTGTGCCCTAGCTGCGGTTCTACTTGAAGCGTACAAATGCCTAGAGGGAGATCTGCTAGAATGGACCAAGCGAGAGGTGCTCGGCTGAGGATGGGCTTCTCGTGAGGCTGTCTGTGTAGATCGATAGTCTGTTAAGGCATAGTAAGATGGTTGAAGAGGAGCAACTGGAATATGATCCGCCCAAGATGTCCGTTGCTACCCTTACCAAGATGCAGGTAGCCATTGAGCATGTCGGCAGTTTACTTTAGTGTTCCATCAGGCTGGAGCCTGTGCAGTATCGGTCCTCCTGGCTGAGGATAGCTATTGTGTTGCCAACGTGGGGGACTGTCGAGCTATGCTCGTGAGGCGGCTTATTGACGGTCATGAACGGAGCCCGAATAGTCTACCATTACGAAGTGGGTCAGGGTAGGGTTTAGACGAGGACGTTGGTATCAGCAGGGATTCCCCCGCATGTTGAAGTGGAGTGGCTGACGGCTGCTCACAATGCAGATTCTCCAATTGAACAGGAAAAGCTGAGGGCTGAGCATCCAGGAGAGGAAGATTTGGTCCACTGTAAGCAGAAGATCATCGAGTTAGGTAATTATCCTAGGCAGTGAGAGTCGGTTTATGTGTCTCTTGGTGGCTCGGGTGACGACAAAGTTCAGGTAGTGATGGTAAGACCGTGGGTACTCGGTGGGGGGCCTGTTATGTTAAGGGAAGACTCCAGCCAACCCGAGCGTTGGGAGACTTCTATTTTAAAGTCAGTGCACTTTAGATTGCCAACTTGTGATAGTTGTAGCAGGACATGGACATTGCGAGAGCGGCGAGAGTAGCTCCTTATCCTCATGAACGTAGCGATGACGATGGTAAAAGTCGACCTAAGGTTCAGTTCTCGCAGTGGTTGTTCTAGAGAACCCTTTCCCGCCCTTCACTCCACCTTATGTATCAGCAGTACCCGATGTTCGTACAGAGTGTAGGGACCCGACTCGGGACATGTAGGCATCTGCTGGGTCGATGCTAGGCCAGCATGATAACACAGGTTCTTGATAATGGCTTCTGATGGCCTTTGGGACTACTTGCCGGATCCTGAGATCGTCTCAACAGCGGTAGATGTATTTGAACGGGAAGGGCCACAGGCAGCAGCAGAAGCCCTAGTATCACGAGTATGGGGAGAATGTGGTCTAACGTGTGTGTGTGGTAGTGGGTGCGGTGATAGGTCATTGACCAAGCCGCTCGGTCAGCGAAATTAACTCCGAACGTTGTTCGACGTATGCAACCTGGCAGAACTAGGAGGAATATACATGATGACGTCACAGTAGTGATTGTAAAGCTGTAGGTCTTCGCGGCGTTTGCTTGTCTGAAGTGGCATCAAGACAACCATTGCACTCTTACTATGAATATTGTTTATATTACTATTAGCATGTTTGGATTAGCGATTGGCGAAAACGGTTCCCTGCATCTGCAGTGGGAGCCATCGTGATTGTCGCTTCTATTGGCTCCGGTCGCAGTGTGTGGTTACAGAGAGTCACTCAAGTCTCTCAACACGTGAACCCACTACTACTTGTGTTGCACTAGGGCAGGGTCGCTGTTGTTCTTTGGACACTGGTTCACAATTGAGTCATTTTTCCTCCTGGGTTGCCTTTAATTGGCCCTCAGTGATGTCGGGTCTAATCCGGCCCGCGTTTGTGTGGATGCCGGCGGCAGTTGTAGCGGCTGTAAAGGTTGCAGAGGTATGCTCCCTGCAGGGTCTTGCCTTAGCAGCAATCATTGGTATAGGTCGCCCGTCGAACGCGATGTGAGCAGGGAGCCCCTCAGGGATCGGCTGTTGTTGCTCCTGTTACAGGGGCAGAAGGCCCTCAGCTTCTCATGCCTGTAGGTCACAGAAAGGCTACTGTGGATACCCGTCTCCGTTGGTCAGGTTGCCCAGGCAACATCAGCACGGCCGCTGCCAAGCGCTCGGATTGGCTGCCATCAATACGCGGCTAACTCCCCTTGTGAAGATCGACTAGCATTACAACAGTTCCCGGGTGGAACGCTCTGTGCATGTGTTTTCGATGGGCATGGAGGCTGGCAGGTCGCTGAGTATTGATATGCTCGTTTTTGAGCCGTCGCAGTAGAAACACTGACCAGGTACCTCCGTGGTCATCTACCATCGCTGTTGGCCAGTCGACTCCCTCACAAGTCTGGGCATATAGACTCTCGTACAATTGAGTCGGCATGCAAGGAGGCATTTATGGTGGCGGATTCTGAGTTGGAAAAGCACGCACGGGAAGCTCAGAAGTAAGGCATGTCACGCCAGGTCCGTAGTTCGTGAGGGCCTTACTATTACCTCTTTCAGACTGGGTTTTTCCCAGACTGTGAAAACTGGCGCCTGTGGATTAGCACTGCTCATCACACAGACCAGCCTGGTGGTAGCGAATGCTGGAGACTGTAAGGCGGTAAGTCATGGAAGTCGTGGATGAGAGGACCAGTCCTTTGCCCTATAAGGTGCTTTATAGAGATCAGCGTCCTGCATTGCCGTTGAATATGCAGCATAACGCCAGCGATGTACGAGAGCAGAGACGGCTCGAGCTCGAACATCCTAATGAGAACAATGTTGTTAGGTAATTGGTACGGCTCTCAGGTGGTGTGCATATTTGTTCTCTTCCTAGGTGTAAGAAAGAGTGGCATGAACCAGTAGTCGTGGCCGTTCCCAAGAGTGAGGTTCTCTATGGGCACCATATATCGCTTGAATTGCATGTCCTTCAGGCGGCTGGCTGGCCGTGAAGTCGTGGTTGGGCTACCCCGTCGAGCTAGAGAGATTGGAACATGCTACCAAGTACTCGGGCTGTTATGTCAAGGGCCGTCTCCAGCCGACTCGAAGTTTTGGTGATTTCTATCTCAAGGTAACCCCGTCTATCGACCCTAGAGCATCTTGGTGTTTTCCCAATGGCTGGGGCATTCCTCACTTGACGTTTTGTTCTGTGGTCAGTCGGCCGAGTTTCTCTTTAACCATGCATCTGGGCGGAACTTCCTACCACCTCCTGACCCAAAGAGTTCTGCTCATACACTTACTCAACCACTGCAGCACTCCTTCCCCTACATCACTAGCGAGCCCGAGGTGATGGTATATCCACGACATGAGGATGACAAGTAGACACGTCGTTGTGCGAGAGGCGAGAATTGCAGGTTGGCTAACGCTGGCAGGTTCATAATATTGGGCAGTGATGGTCTGTGGGATAATGTGACTGATGAAGAAGCTGTAGGGTTCGTGAGGCGACTACTTTTACAAGAAAACAGCAGTTGGAGTGCCAACTCTGGTAGGCTGTGACTAGAGTGAGGGAGAATCGTCTGAGACGGAATAGTTTGGAATTATGGTCTCCATGGTCGTTTTCATTCTCAGTTGCAGAGGCGCTGACAGGAGAGGTGTTGAGTCGAGCAGCGAAGAAGAGCTCCAAGAGCTTAGCGGAGCTCCAGGCTCTCCCACAGGGCAACCAACGTCGGAGGCTCCATGATGACATTTCGGTCTGTATAATCGATCTTCGTCCGATCAAGGATCATTCGTCTACAGTCGGCCATACCACTAGTGGTTGAAGCTGTACTCCTGATGGTGGATATGGTCGTGGGAGATAGTGCAGGTCTTGTTTCAGTCTCAGTCTAAATGCACCAACAAATAGTACATGTCTTAAACTTTTTTGAACGTATAGCATCGCCTCTGGCAGGCTTGTGTTTTAGTGGTGGAAAAACGTACAGAAGTGCCCTACTTTGCATTGTGTCGAGATGGCTGCGTCTATGCTAGCAGCGACCCATTATAAGAATCAGGCAGGTGGAGCCTCCAGTCCTGAAGTAGTGGGGGGGACGCTCTGCTGCCACCAGTGTTGAAATATATGTTCACTTTCCTTAGCTGAGCTCAGGAGTTGACTCACTAGTCATAGGAGTTAATATAGGAATTGGGTTAAAAGTATACAGCAACCTGCAGGAATTTCTTCAGAATATTCATATTGTCACCAACGCATGTGGTTGACCATGTGCATATTGCCACCTCAACGTGACAATACTGGTAGTAGCTATCTTACATTAGGAGTCATGTGATGGAGGACCTGCTACGGGTGGTACTCGAACAGGAGACGCTGGAGATGCGGGGGCAGCAGCACGAGGTGTTGACGGGGCGACTAAGACGAACACTATGGGGTCTTGGGAGTCGGCAGAGTAGTGAAGCCGATGCTTGGCCGACTAAGGCGTGCTGAGGGATTCTTTTCAGACAGCGGCAACAGAGCATACGCCTATACAACTTGGCTCGGTTTGTGTTCGAGATATGCTACACCTTGGATCTACCTGAAGAGGTGACACGGTTCATGGGTTGTCTAGTCTGATGGCGGTCTTGACAGGTTACGGCCACTGCAATGCTTTATTTGCATTCGGTATTGGATAAGATGAGAATGAAGGACCTTTCGGATGATCGATATGTAATGCTTATGCTTAGTCGATGCTTCTTTGGGCAACTCCCTTCTGTTTTAGCTGATAGCAATAGCGTCCATCGTGCTGGCGTGTAAGGTGTGTGAGGACAGATTGCCTAGGTCACTGGCGGCTCCTCGCAGCGGGGGACAACCTAGTGGCCAGCAAGCGACTGCCAACTTCACGCAAGTCATGCGAGCGGTAGATGGTGGTCTCCCCACGGTTATGCTTTGAGGGTATCTCTACAGGTTTTGGATACCGCCATCTGTCATATGTCCGGCCAGACGACAGTGCATGCCGATCGATTACACGAGCAGCGTCGGTTTTTGAGGGACAAAGTGTCTCTGATTGAAAGCCTCGTGCTCCTCAGAGTAATCGGGTCCAATCTCCAACCTGAACTACCGTAAGTGGCCAGATGGTCGTTTTTGTCCTGTGCAATGTACATGAATAGATATGACATCATGGCATCACTGCTAGAGCTACATATCTACCCGGCTGAGTCCTTGTTCCCAGCAGGCGTTAACAGAGCGATTATAGGCAGAGTAGCTCGAGCGACTCTCAATGACTGGTGGGTCCTTGCTGAGATGCTCAGCGATTCTCGACTTGCTTATGGGAGGTCGCTACATATATCGATGTTGCGCTCAGTTTCCGCGCCCCACTGTGTCTGAAGCATCGGCCCGAGGTCCTGGCAATTGCCGCAATGTAGGTTCGCATAAGAGGCACTTTAGCCTCCCTCCATTCTGTTCTATGAGGCTCTGAAAGTGAGCGAACTATAGCTGCACTTGGTTCGTCAGATACGTCACTTGTCGAGTACTTCATATCAATTGGTCTGAAGTGGTGTCGACATCCTCTGGCGGTGACTTCGATGAAAGTGTTGGGAGATCCAAGCTTGAGGGGTCGGCAACATCGGCACCGTGGAGGAGTGAGCAATCCAAGGTGAATGCATACAGCTGTTTGAAACGCTCAAACGCTCTTGTCAACAGCAATTAAGCTCATATATCGTGTGTTATCGTAGGTTATTGAGTTCATGGATCCATCAGTGGACGAGACGGCTGTTATGGAGTGCATAGCTGATCTAATGCGTTCCGTATACAACGTTTCTGGTATGATACAACAGAGCAGAAGTCTTTCAAATAGTGATAAAAGGCGTCAATGATGATTACAAAATGTTGCGTTGTGTAGCAACAACCAGTGTATGGAGAATAGATTCACAGGCACGACCAAACTAGAGCCGACTTGAAGCATTTCGTTTGTTACTGGTTGCTCCTGTGTGAAGAGTGATGGTGATTGACCGTTCAACGTAGTGGCGACGAAATGAACGAGTTCAACCCGGAGCTCAACCGATCTTAATCCAACTCCCACCGAGATTCGCTGTTTTGTGACAGTAGTACCTTTACGCTCGTCTAAAAATCGCTTTAAATGGAACAGGTCGCACATGGCTGTTATTTCATTCGAGTGATAACTGCGTAACTGCCCCTTTTGCAATGAAAAATAAAAAAAATTGGAGCTGAAAACCCAATTTAGGTTGAAGTTGTGGCAGTATTTCTTTCATAAAGTATGATTATTAGAACCACTGATATCTACATATGGCCGCCGCGGCACACATACGTAGACGTATTACTGGGCGAGCGCTTATTTCATTGTATTGTGATGCGACGTAGTCTCTTTGTCACCTAAACTACCCATGCAATTGCGTGATGCCCATCAAGCTTGGACCACCCTTCACTAGCGTTGTCATCTCGAGTGTTGGCTGTATATCTCAAGACGAACTTTGTGGAGTTACTGCAGTGGAGGTGGTCATATTACAGTAGCGTTATTCTGTCGTTAGTACATTTTAAATGGATAATCAGAATCAGAACTCTTCCTTCACTTTGAGCTATGCCGATTTCAAAGCAGGCTCAGACAGGAGGCGAGCTTTCTTCCAAGACGTAGTGTAAACCTGCTCAGAAGAGGGTTGTTATTACTAGATCAGGTTCCTGCGATTTCAGTGAATAGGAGTCAAACTACCGAAGTAGTTCCACAAGAGAGCCGGTTTGTTCGTCCTCGTACGGACTCTGAGTTCATGGCTGCCTCGCCCACCAGGATTCCTCGAGATATCTACGAGGAAGTGAGTCCTGCATGTAGCAGTGTATGAGACGATTGGTGACTTTTTAGAAAAACGTACAGCGTGCTGCAACGGATGGGGCGTTGGCTATGGAAGCCACTCGATTGCAAGTAGAGTTGGCGTTGGAGTCACATGATCATCTTTTCCGAGGACATGATGAGGTCTTAGCCAGTGTGGACAATCCAAGAAAGTGAGTTATGAAGTGATGGGCAGTAGTCGGTTGGAAATGGATTTAGGTTTATTATGACATGGAGGTATTGGTACTTGTATATTCGACGTATTGCAACAATGTATTTTATACCATTGCAGTTGGGTATTCTCGCGGGTTTGTTATGGGCTAATATTGATGAGAGTAACTATAATTACCTCTGGGGCACGGACAGCGAGGGGACCATGCAGTTAGGATTCTCCATTGGTGGCCATCATGTAGTGAAAGCTGCCTGTTCTTGCCTTCTAGACCTTTTCTCATGTTAGGTAACTTTACACTTCCTTATTAATGACGTGTTCATGACTTTCTTCTTCGGCATAGCTATGGTGGAGATAGTCGTCGCAGTATTGCCTGGAGGCTCATTGTCTCCAATGAAGAAGGCTATTGTGCCATTGATGAGTGAACCAGATGACTTGTTCGTGCTTTATGTGAAATTTCATTCTAGGTACTCTGGGTGGAATACTCGGTCCCATCGTGGTGTTCGTGTGCCTCATATTCGTCATGGAAGCTCTGGGTGGATTCGACAGCTATGAAAACGACCTGTCAGATATTCTCCACGGTTGGGGTATCGTTGTAGCAACTGATATCTCCATCGCGTGGTTGGTAGCTTCATTCGTTTTTGGCGGAGGGCATTCTGCCATTCGTTTCCTGTTACTTTTGGCCGTTGCAGATGATGTTGGAGGTGTCCTCATCATTGCCTTTTTCTATCCATCTCCCCATAACGCTGAATACGTCTACTTGTTATTATGTGTGGCAGGCTGCGTGCTGGCATTCTTCCTCCGTGAATTAAAGGTGAAGCATTGGGCATGGTACGTGTTCCTGTGTGGCCCTCTGGCATGGTATGGTTTACTGAAAGCCTCCGTTCATGCTTCTTTGGCCCTCTGTCTTATCGTCCCCTTCATGCCCAAGGAGATAGACACCAGTGAACCGAATCGCTTCGTCAAATTGTGGCGGAAGTGGCGGCCTAGACAGAATAGTGATGGTGATAGGTCGAGGGCAGAATCGAGCAGTTGTGGGTCTACACTGGCGCTTGAGAAAGGTAGGGTAGTGGCGGGTCCACTGGAAAAGTTTGACCACGATTGTGCCTTTTTTGTTCATTGCGGTCTTTTTTTCTTCGCCTTGGCAAACGCCGGTGTCAAATTTGGTGGAGATTCGATCGGCCTAATAACATTGGCTATCACGGTCTCCCTAATTGTTGGTAAAACTGTAGGGATATTTACCTTCGGCTGGGTCGTCAGCACTGTGTTCAAATTGGGTCTACCAGATGGTATGACTGTGAAACACCTCTTTGTTGTTGGTATAATATCTGGCGTCGGCTTAACCGTTGCTCTCTTCGTGGCTCAATCGGCCTATACCCAGCCGGACCTGCTTGCCCAAGCAAAGTTGGGTGCTCTTTTGTCCGCTCTATCTGCTCCAATAGCGATAGTGGCAGGCAAACTCTTCCGAATAGTTAAGGTACCCGCTGGGGAAACAACCACCAGTGGATAAACATCTGTATAGTTGGAATCGTGATTTTACGCCTTGATACAAATAAACTTGATTTACTAGAAGCGTCATTCCACTGGCTTTGTTCACAACTGGATGTATTAGTAGGCCTGTAGTTGTAATTGTAGTTGACCATTAGTGTGTTGTTGATGATGTTTACGTTGGTGGGATGTGGAAGATAGCTCGTCTACATTCATGTTCCCGTTTTATCAGTGTATAAATAAGTTGAATAGTTGTTACCAATTGTGATGACCTATGTGGTATGAGTCATACCACACCTTTGTGACAACCTGTTTCATTACTTTCAATAGTCACCTCATCTCGCTACACCTGTGTAGAGTTGGTAAGGGTCTGCTGGGGTGATAACTGTTTTCTATTGGAATAATTTTTTCAATAAGAAGTGCCGGGTCGGAGTCGTGTAGTCCGCCCTTGGGTTTTATCCGCAGGTGACGATCAGACTAAAAATGGATTCGGTGATGTAAGCAGGTGTTTATGCTTCTCTGGTCCTCTGTCGTATTGCCCTCTTTATGCCCAAGAAGGTAGACACCAGTGTAGGCATGAACGAGGCCCTACATGGGTAACGTGTGGGGCCTTCCTCCCGTTAGAGTTTTTATGAAGTGTCGTGTTGTTTCTCCGTGCTTCTGGCCGTCGTATTGTCCTTCTTACTGTTCTTTAACAATGTTGGCATGTTCTAGCACTCGTATGGCCTCCTTGTCTACACTGGAGTTGTAGAAGCGTATAGTCGTTATTACCTCGAGAGTGCTTATTGTGTTACATAATCCGTAAGTGTAGTAATGCCGGAATAATTTACGCAGATTTTCTCAATTCATTTTCATCCACTATGCAAGGTAACACAGCGGCTGTCCCGGCAGTGACGGAACCCCTTCTGGGAGGGACATCAAATAGTCGAGGGAAGGCGCAGCTGGGCGAGGGCATCCTTCTGCTTCTCATATCGGCACTGGGCTTCTCTACGATGAGTTGTCTAGCCTCCATGGTGAGCCGGTGGTTCTCATCTTCGGAGATCATGTTTACTCGCTGCCTTATGCAATTGATATTCTCATATATGGTATGCTTGAGAGCAGGAGTGCCCCCATTGCCGAGCCGCATGGAGGCGGACAACCTACAGGGCTGGGTCATCATCAGGGGCGTATTCGGAGCACTAAGCAACTGGATACTGTAAGCAGTGTGCATTGCATGTGGTATGTTGGCATCAAAATTGTAGGTACTATTCCCTTTCTCAGCTGCCTCTGGCGGACTCCTCTAGTCTGTTCTTCACACAGCCCATGTTTACTTTAATTCTAGCTCCATTGGTGATTAATGAGAGTATTGCTCCTAGGCAGGTTTTGGCTGTGCTGATGGCAGTCTGTGGGGTAGGCGGTATCACTGGTGCTCTCCCTGTTCACACCAGTCTTCAGGTTTTCTGTATTGCTCGTCCAGCATGGCTCTTCGGCGCGGCATCAGCTTCTACTACTGCAGTGATGCATAATATAGATCCACAGATACCCAGATGGCTGGCTGTCATAGTATGCCTCAGTGGGAGTTTCGTGGCCTCCCTCGTATTCATAACAGTCACTCATATTGGCAAAAGAGTAATACGGGGATGAGGGAGCTCTATGGGAATTAATCGATTGTGCCTCATTGATACATCCTCAGGCACACTGGGCACAGCTTGTGTTCTCGTTTGCTGCCTTCGGTACAGCAGTCGCTATAATACCCCTATGTTTTCAATGGTCTCCTTTAAGAATGCCATCTACCCCTTGGCCCTATGTCATGTTATTCTCGCTTGGCTGCTGTGCCCTGCTAGGCCAGTCTACATTCAATCATGGCATCCAGTTGTGCCAGTCAGCGGTCACCAGCTCCCTGGTCAGGCAAGTAGACCTGATCTTTGCCTTCGTTTATCAGGTGGGATTAGATGTGGATCACCGAGCTTCGAGGATTGGGGTTTCTCAGGCTCTTTTTCTCAACCACCCTTTAACGTGGTATTCTCTAACGGGTGGTTTTTTTGTCCTTTGCGGAGCATTGGTGGACGCTCTCCCGAAACTGGTCACTGAGCTCAAGTCTAGGGGATATATCGGCGTAGTAAGATCAAGCCGCAAAGTCGAAAATGTGTAATGACTTCCAAAATGGTTTTTGAGGAGCTTTTGTGGTATCTGTTCATAATCGGCGATTCAACGTGGGAAGGACGTTGATAGAGATTCGTCCGATTTTACATCTCAATGTAGCAGTGGCAGTGCCCTATTACTTGTGTAATATCATATTTCAATCTTCTTGTCGTGTTGAATGAGCAAATACGTGGGAGATTGTGAAATATGTATAGAGGTATGCTACAATGGAGAGTCGATCGTATAGTTAGTGTTCTTACGTTACTATGAAGACCGATTTCTCAACGGAGTCAACATCGCCTCTACTTGCGCCTACCTCGGTTCGCCCTCGAGCTAACTCACGTGGTGAAGTCCGCATGGGCCTGGGCGTCGTGTTTGTGTTTATTTCGGCCTTTGCCTTCTCCACGATGAGCTTTCTGGCCTCTATCGCTAGTCGCTGGTTTGCCTCTTCGGAGACCATGTTTATTCGATGTATAATGCAGCTTATATTCGCATGGGCCGCTTGCAGGGCGGCTAAGGTACCTGTCTTGCCTAGCCTCAGTGCGCCTCATCATCTCTTCTGGTGGGTCATGCTCAGAGGCCTTTTCGGTGCCGCAGGGAACTGGATTCTGTAGGGGCTTCCCTCGATGACTTTGGTGGACGCTGGTCGTTCTTTGTTAGATACTACTCCTTGTCTCAGCTCCCTCTGGCAGATGCATCTAGTCTATTCTTCACTCAGCCTATGTTCACCCTTACGTTAGCTCCTATTCTTATCCACGAGAAAATAGCTCCCAGGCAGGTCTTGGCGGTCCTGTTTGCAGTCTGTGGTGTAATAACTCACAGAGTTGGCGGCTTGGGCTGTGCTTGATTCCATCCTTCTTGTTACTGATAGGTCTTCTGCATCGCACATCCAGCGTGGCTATTCGGCTCTTCAATAGCCGGGTATGAGGCCATGGGTAATGTCGATGCTCAGTTGCCTAGATGGCTAGCCATTATAGTATGCCTTTGCGGTAGCTTCTGCTCTGCTATGGTTTTCATCACAGTCAGTAATATCGGCCGCAGGGTAATACTGGTGCGATCTTGATAGAGCGTTGGTTCACCGAGTATGCTCCTCAGGCACACTGGTCTCAGCTTGTCTTTGCCTTTGCTATCATCGGCACCTGCGTAGCGACTATCCCTCTAGTGGCACAGCTAGCGCCTCTGAGGTGGCCTCGAGGCATCGTGCCCTACATAGTGATTATCTCGGTCGGTTGTTGCGCCCTTGTTGGCCAGGCGACATTCAACTACGGCATGCAACTGTGTCAGTCGGCAGTGACCAGTTCACTTGTCAGGCAGTCGGACCTCATTTTCGCATTCATTTATCAGGTAGTATATACATCTCTGTGGAAAATCGTTATTACTATACGACGTTAAGTACTTCGCTCTTTCAGTGATTCCAGTTTCATACGCGAATTTTGCTACTACTCAGGCCCTGTTCCTCAGCCACCCATTGACGTGGTACGTCATTGTTGGTGGATGCTTCGTTCTAGGAGGTGCCCTCACTGATGCCGTACCCAAGGTTATCAAGGAGCTCCGCAACAAGGGCTACCTAGCACAAAAGGCTCACTAATACAATGCTTGCCTATGTGGTAAAACACCCCTAGCTTCATTGCTATTTACCTCAGCACCTCACAACCTTGTATTCATCTGCTTCTATGTACGTTACTAAATCGTATTGATATCTCTCTAGCATTGAAATGGGTTTCCTCGCCGTCTCGAGTTTGCTTGTGTTTGTGTTGGTAACCTTCTTCCTCTTGATCGACAGTGGTCTGCATTGATATCATGTCTCTCCACTCCGTGAAGCTACTAGCAATAGTAGCAGCTGCATTAGTCGCCTTGTTGGGCTTGTGGGCAGCGAAGGAGGTACTATACGGGGCATGGGGGGGTGTTAGTGCTCATGCATGGCGGCGTGAGAAAATATGCACATGTTCAAGTACATGTGTAGGTGACATTTGTGGAAATTCTGGGAGGAAAGTTGAGGAAAATCGTGTTGGTTTCTGTACACTTCTACCCGAAGTACCTATGCCCATTCAGGTTGGAAAGATCAAAAGGCCACTGCTGTTTTCGGTCTCCCAAGCATTCACTGCTGGGGTCTTGTTCGCCGCTGGACTCTGTCACATGCTTCCTGATGCTGTCGGGGACCTCATCGGGATCTACGTAGATCATAACCCCCAGTTTGGTGAGTCTACCCAAGTTGTTCCTCAGTCGGTTTCACTGTATATGGTAGGTGCTCTCATTGCGTGTACATGGGCCGCCGTGGCATTCCTGTTATTGCTTTCCATCGAGGAGATGGTTTCGGCTCTGTTACCCGCGAGTACAGCAGTCCCCCACTCGGAAGCCGCGTGCGTCACGTATAGAACTCAGTTCCCTATACTGCCTAGGTGAACGGATGATTCTGCTCGATAACCGACGATATGTCGTTTCCGGGTCTTAGGAAGGAGCTTGTCGGTCCTCATGGTTGCTGCGAGGAGGCAGATCCCGATAGCTGTTGTGAGGTAGTTGATTATTTTCGCGATCGCGAGTGTATCGTGTGTTGGTGGTAGGCAATCGAGAATCGGAATGCACAGGAGAAGGACGGCCTTATAGATCCTCTCTTGCCACGGTATCACAACGAATGTTGTCCAGTACATGAGCATGATCATGTCCATCATCATCATCATCACCATACTCACAGTATCCACAGTATCGACGAAGCCGATCCTGAGCGTAATTGTTATGTCTACTGATCCGCTTGGGTAGTTTGCGTCCGCCAATTCGAGGAGCTTGAGGAGCTGCCCTTCTGGCATGGGACCGACGAGTATGTTTCAGAACCTCTCCTCCTCCTCCAACAGCAGCATCATCACCATCATCATGTGGAGCTGAAGCATGCCCCGCTGAAAGCAGGGCCCTGTGCGGAGATCGGCGCAATGACGCTTTTCATTGCATTGAGGTGACCATTCGGTGAATCCAAATGTCAGCGAAATTGCTCTACTCGCTACTCCTCTCCTCTTCAGCTTCCATTCAGTGATGGAAGGTTTGGGTGTCGGATCGGCTACACATTCCTGGGAGGTCATACCTGTCCTCACAGCGATTCTAGCCCATAAGGTAGGACTTCGGCCCTTTATGCTTTTGTATCTCTGCTTTAGGCACTAGCGGCGTTTGCATTAGGATGTAGCCTGGTTGAGTCTACCGTGTCGGGCAGGCGATTTTTTGTATACAGTCTTATATTCGCCGCTGGTGAGTCAGGGCTTGTTTCTATTTCTAGCATTGCCTCGATCATCAGGTACTCCCGTCGGTGCTCTACTTGGCAATATTGGAATCTCCTCTGGGAAGAGCGTGCACGCAGCGGCTGTCTTCACGGCCACATGTAAGGCCCTAGCATCAGGAACCTTCCTACAGGTGTGTTGTTGCATACTGCGAATCATAATCATAGTTTCGATACAGGTGAGCTCAATGGAGATAATACCCCAGGTCTTCGCCTCTGCCGAGGGCCGGTTTAGCAAGCTTACCGCAATTCTCGTTGGATTCGGAGCAATGGCTACTCTAGCTGTGTGGATATGAGAGGTTACTCTACTACTACTACGGCTACTGAGCCTGTGATACTACCCAGCGCCATTTTCTCACTGTTTCACCATTTAATCTGACTCCTTCATTGAAATAGGTTGAGTTTGTGTCGGGTGTGGTATTGCTCTTTCAGACTTGTCCGTCTCGATGCGAGAAACTCGATCTGTATCACACTCACATGCTTCATCGCCGCTGCACCCCTTCGAGGCACGCGCCGTGGATGAGGAACCGTCGAGCCAGTCCTTGAGTGAGACAGTAGTGGACTCGATAGCAGCTCAGTATGGCGTTGCTAAGACTGCAATGGGAAAGCTGTGTAGGGCTGCAGAGTAATCCACCGAGGATGATGCTGTTGTTGTTAGACCGAAACGTCAGCGCTTCTGTACGGCAGCTCGACTTCTCCGCACTAGCAGAGTCTGATCTACCTTTTTCTCTTCGTCGTGATGAGGACATCGGGCAGGATCAGGGAGAAGAGACTTGGAAGTGTCTCAAGCCAGATGGTGAGTCCCATAAGTTTAGTGCAGTATCGCGAGAAAATACGGAAAACGCTAGAATACCGAGTTGAGCGTATTACCAACAAAGTCACAACTGATTTAGATCCAACGCTTAGGGGCTCTATCGGCTATAACGGAAGTGGGTATCGTATTCTAGTCGGGTTCGGGAGTAGATCCGGAGAGTGTTTTCGAAGGTATACAAGTTGACTATGTGGCCTAATGGCTTCTGTGAACAGCTCAGACTTTGCACCTCTCTGCACACCTTGACATTTTCGGTTTAGCCGGCCATTTTTAGTATTGGTGATAGTCGTATCTGTACACTGCAGTATCATAGCTATCGGCCTAGAAGTGTAGTACTAGCAGACTGCTAGTACTACACTTCTGCTAGTAGTAGTATTGTCCACTCACACGAGTAGAGTATCGCGATTGACGTCGGGAAGGCATCTTACTATACTCGTCATACGATTACTAAGAGTTCTTCATGGCACACTCGCGAGCAGTCTCATGTACCTTTCCATATTCAATGGCTACAGCATCGAATGTAGGTACGTATCGGGTCATCGATGCATCTGAGCTAACGTCCACTATTCTTGTCGATCCGGACTTGGATGATCAGGAGATTATCACTACAGACTCGGGTCTAAGGCTTCCTGATATTCGCCTCCCCGCATGCGCTCTCCGCAAAGGCCGAACTTTCAGCGGGGTCTCAACTACTGTACCTTCATTAGCAGAGGCGGAACTTGGCGAGGAGCCTATGGGGGTTTCCCTCTTGCCACCTGGCGGCTCTCGGTTGCTCCACCGTCGGACCAAACGGTTCCACACAGTGGCGGCTGGTCTGGCCAGCGAAGCCCGTGCTGCTGTCGACAAGGTCCGGGTCGAATCCAGGGAAGTACTCCCACTGTGATTTCTCGCGGGGATTTTTACACTGTCCTCGGTGTGTATTACATTTCACGATATAATTTCTGCTCTTTGATGCACTTTGGTAGAGCTGCTGTTTTTGGAGCTTCACCACGTCGCTGGTGGTCGAGTTTTATGTACGTATTGGGTCTGCAGGGGTGGGTAGTTCAGTGAATTAATATCCCTATCCATGGTCAAGAAACGAGTCAAGTTGGCTCGCAGACGGGACAAGAACGCGTCGTCTGTCCCAGTGTCGTCAGGGAAGGTCCAAGTAGGGAGAACAGACGAGCAGGGGGGTCTCACGGGACTCGAAGACCTCCGTGAGAAGTTGGCGGTTCTTCCAACACATGTGGTACGATTGCTGGCAATTTCATAGCCTTTGCCGTTCCCGTCTTTGATTGTAATAAGATGATACTGCATGTCGTTGTTTATGTAAATTACGTTGCGCCGTCGTCTATAGGCGCATAGGTTTGATACGTTGTACATACTATAATACTGCAGTCTTGTCGGGCCAAGTTTATCAGCATCAAAGCTCGTCGATAACCCCTTACTATTATAGTGAATCTGATATTGTATTATGAGCCTCTCAGGTGTTTGACCTGGATGACACTGTATGGGAAGGAGATGTCGAATTCTGTTATGGCCCTCCATTCAAGTTTGATGGCGGTGTCGTCTACTCTAAGGGTAATCTTTATCAGCCACCTCTACTCGCAAGACTAAGTTCCTCAGGGTCGCCCTCGTTGACACTGTTCGAAGATATACCCGCCATAATGACGTGGCTAGTGAGGCACGGTGTGGAGATCGGATATGCATCTAAGACGGCCGAGCCACGTTGGGCTATGGAAGTCCTCGACTTGATTCATCCTATAGCTGACCAGCCCGGCTGTTCTCTGAAGAAGGTCTCTGCAGGGGAGGGTTGGGGTTGGCAGAATAAACAAGAACATATGAGGAAGATCAGAGCCACTACTGGGATGAACTATGACGAATGTGTTTTCTTTGACAATATGTACAGCAACTGTGAGGATGTATCCAAACTGGGTACGACTTCCGGCTACTGTCCGAGAGGAATGACCAACGAGATCTTCATAAGGACCATGATCGAGTTCTCGGACAAGATGGCTGGCAGCAGTAGTTCGTTTTCTTCAGAGGAGGATAGCAATACTTCCAGTTTCCTCGATTAGGGTTGTTCCACCTCGACGTCACTGTATCAATAGTGTTGCTTACGTGCCTGCATCATCTAGTTACTGTAATGTGTTGAAGTTTCGTACTAGGCGCGGCGGGAATCAGCGGAGATATACCGTGAACATTGATAGCAGTTCTTTTTGTCACGCCATCACGACTTCTCCAGTGTCTATGAGTGCAGACTCTCTCGCCAAGGTCAAGGCTGATGAAACTCGACGGCGCAAGATTTATTTCCAGTATGCTTGTGGATTCCCTGGGGGCTTCCCAGTGTTGAAATAAATGTCCACTTTCCTCAGCTGAGTCCAGAAGTTTCCTCACTAACTACGGAAGAAAAATGCCTCCGGATTTCCATATTGTCACTAGAACTTGTAGTTGGTTATGTGTATATTTCGCCTTTCCGCCGGTCCATTGATATGAGTGCAAGCTAGTTGGCATTTCGTCTATCCCTCCCTTTCTTCAGGTCAATGATTGGGCCTCTCGTTGTCTTCACCATTGTGGCGGTACTAGCTCTAAAGCCCAGTAAGTTGGACTCTTTGGACTACTCTTCTACACCTGGGTCCTCAGCTCCTATCGACTGGTTCTATTGGCACCCTTTTCTCATGCTCGTCGGTACGGTACCGATTGCCACCTCAGCAGTGCTCATCAAGAAAATTGGGGGTATTCAAATCGCCCATCGAAGCAATGTAGTGTCGATACAGGTTACTATAATACGAAAACCCATGGTTTTCTGCTTTTCCTGACTCTGACGTTCGTAGTTGGTGGTCTCTATGTCATCTATACGAACAAGGAGATGCATCAGAAGAATCATCTTGTGTCTTGGCACTCCTGGATAGGCGTCACGGCTGCAGGACTGCTCATTGGTGAGTAACAAAACGCATCCATCACATGTTGGAGTTGCCTCTGTTCAGGTGAGGCATGTGGCGGATTCCTAGCTCTTGATCCAGACTGTAAGATCAGGACGTCCCCGTCTGTGGAGGCTTACATCCGCATCATCCATAGGTGAGCTCAGCGGTCAATATTTCTTTAGCTGCTACGTTGGTGTAGGTACTGTGGCAAAATCACACTAATCCTGGCCTATATTGCCTGCGTCACAGGATGGTACAAAATGAGTCATAGGATGGTCGAAGGATCTGCCTTTGGCCTCAATGCCATCCACGTGACGGCCTTGTTCACTCTACCTCTGTCGGTGTTTGCTTACATTGCTTTCATAAAGAAGTATTGAATTACACTGCATAGTGCTCGTCAGTTTTTGGAGCTAGCGAAGTTGCGTTGGGCGGTACCTCAATCTTCCCAAGCGCAACTTAAACCAAATAATATATCGCCAAGATTCCATTTGAGGTCCGATCTCGTTCGTCGATTTAGCCTCTACTTGGTATGTTAGCCATAGTGCACGGATAAGGTCCCAGAGAAGCTAAGAATGTGCAACTGTGGACTTCCTAGACTCCTCACTAATCATCAATGTTTTAGTTTTGATCACGCCCATCATGGACGTCTCCTCTCCCAATCACGATTCCCAATCAGAGACATCAAGTGACGCCGAGGATGGCTCTACTCCTCTGGTCGGTTATGCTGTGAAGCCCTCTGAGTACCATCTACTTCAACGACGATATTTTCCCAGCAAGATTGGTGGTTCCCCGGCATGGCTCGACCCGGAGCTTTTGCCATCGGGAGATCTCACTTGCGATTCCTGTGCCAAGCCGCTCACCTTTCTGGCTCAGATCTACTCTCCTGGGGGGAACGATGCAGCCTTCCATCGGACCATATATGTTTTTGCGTGTAGGAGCTGTCCAGGATCGTTCAGGGCGTTGCGGTCACAACTGCCAAGGGACAACGCGTATTACCCCCCAGTCCCGGCCTCAGAAGACGACACTACTGTGAGCGATGATGTTATCGCGCCTAAGAGCTGTTCTTTGTGCGGTCTGCCGCGTGATGTCGCCGAGTGTGACGGTCAGGGCGTGCATGTGTCCTGTCGGAAGAGACTCGAGAGTAGGTGGAAGTTGAAGGTTGATGAGTTTGGTCTATTCATCGAAGAATGCGACGAAGAAATGACCGACAGCGAAAGTGATGTCTTGGCTTCTGATTTGGTTGGGGACGAAAGTCACCTTCTCGAGGAATACCGAAAGAAAAACGAGGAGGAGATGATGGATGAGTCGGAGATCGAGGCATTCGATGAACTATGTCCGGAGATAGATGCTGACGACCAAGCGCATAAGGACTTTGAGCTCCTTGCAAAGGCTAACCCTGGTCATGTTATTTACTATCGTCGTGGTGGCAGACCTGTATGGCTGACTTCTATGGGGAAGCAGCCCGCGTCCCCGACACGGTGTGAACTGTGTGGTGCCCCGAGGGAGTTTGAGTTCCAAATCCAACCACAGCTTGTCTATAAGGCGTCTTGCGATTTTGACTTTGGTGTTGTTGCCGTATACACATGCAGTGCTGATTGCGATATCAAGGGTTATGCTCGAGAGTTCACGGCCGCACAGGAGGAGCCGGAGGAGTGGCTTGCGTCGAATGAGGAGAAGCAAGAGGTTGTGGACATTCCTGTATCATCGAGTCGATAATTGATGATAGCAAAGTAACGTAAATAGACATTATGTTGATACCGTTCCTCCGACAAATTATAGTGATGAGTTGATGTTAATCCAATGACGATATCAGTAGTGAGCTTTGAGTGGCAGGACTGATATTAACGTGTCTTATATGTCTGGACCTGAGGGCGGCAGTGAAGGAGCTCATGCCTGCACAGCTGATGATGGCAATGCGAGTTCAGTGTTGGACAGGTTGCTCGATGAGCAGAGCGAGATTGAGGCAGGGGCTATTAGAGTGACGGACGAGGTCAGCGACGAGCAACAGGACTATCCCGAGCATAGGTTGGCCGATACCCTCATACAGTGCGGGGCAATCGCGATCCTATTGCTAGGCCCATCCCAGAAGGGATAGTACTACCGAGCCCAATGGCTCAGCTTCCGTCTCCTGAAGAGACTCCCCGAACCGAGACCAAGACGACTCTTGCTCGGGCTGACATGCAGGACTTCCAGAAGGCCCTTGACGGAGTGAGGATACCACGCTGACTATCACCAGGGGACTCCTCCGTAGGTCGTGGGCAAACTCCGGACCGCTGCGACGGATGCCTTCATGGATTCGCGCCAACGTATCACGCGGAGGCACGAAGCGGAGTCAACTGCAGCCAAGATGCATGCACAGGCCACTGAGGTCAATCTCAAAGAGACTATCAAGGCTCTCAATGAGCGACTCGAGTATAACGTCATCTACTACTACGTCACACTCACACATCTAGTGATCGTTCCATCTGATTGTCGTCTCAGTGTAGCGAATGATCGAGTCGCGACCCTCGAGAGACAAATCAAAGGCGTCCAATTTCTCAATCACAAGCAGCGTAATCGTCAACGCAGGCAGCTGCTGATGGCTAGGATGATGGCCCGATGGAAGATATACAATAGTCTGCGGGTACGTGGCCTGGCGGAGTTGGAGCCTGCTCGCTTACTTCTCCGGCAGTTGGACGAAAAGACGAAGTCGAAGCTCTCGAGAGCTCTCTACAAGGCGAAGTTGTCGAGCCGAGTCTTCGTGTCGTGGAAGCTCCGGTCTATGCGGAGGGCTGCTGCCCGAAAGCAGGCTGATATGGAGTTGGCTAATGCAACTCTGCGAGCTAATGAGTCAGCGGTTTGGGAGGAGGAGAGATCGACGCTTCTGGTAGACGACATTCCGTGGAAAGAATCATATTCTATCATTCGTCAGGCTAGAATAGACGACTTCACAGCAGAGCTAGAGAAGGAGATGCAGACGAAACGTATGATGCAGGATAATCTCAAGCGCGTCTTCATGCGCGGTGTGTGTGCTCTGAACTTTGAGGCTATGTCTTTGCTGGGTGAGGCAGAAGGAACTCAGCGCTCATGTCATACAATGCCGGGTTTGGCCATCATCGTTTGTAGGTGGGCAGCCTGCCGATGAGAGCGAAGCCGAGGAGCAGTTCGACCGCCTCTTCGGCTCTGCATCGGCAGCGAACTCAACGAATCCTGTGGGAGCAGAAGCCAGGCCTCAAGTAGTGTGCGGATCCTCCTTCGAGTATCGAAATTCTGATTCCAACTCAGGACAGCTCATGGATCAACTTGATGGCGCGGGAGACTTTCGTGGCCACCAGTTCCGCCATGGCTATGGTCACGGGCTCGGAAGGTGCTCGGAAAGAGCATAACACCCAGAGTCTGCCATTCGTCAGCTACGATGGTTCGAAAGACCGAGAGAAAGCCGTCATGGTGGGCTCTAGAATACCATAAACCATCTCTGGATAATGTCTGAGATGTTTATATATCAGATGTCCTCTGCCCCGCCGCCGGCACAGGATACCGCAGTCCCCACGGCTCACTTGACTGGTGTCCGTTCCGTCACCCCTGTCACATCCAGACGCAAAGACTGGTCTCGTGCTAGCAATGGTGTTGTCGCCGGATCTCGCAGTAAGAGACAGTCTGTGGGGTAATGCTCTATTCTGTGCATAATGCTGAGGATATCATCATCTAGTGTTGTTCGGACCATGTGTTGTTTTGCTATTAGTGGGAATCATTGGGGATGGATCCAAATTGATGCGTAAACACCTTATTCAGGAGAAGAGCACCTTAGAATCTAGACACGACATGGTTCCTAGCGGGTTAAGTCTCCTGCAGGCTGCATGCTCCGCGGGCCCCATGGGTTGAATTTCGAGCTTCCCACCTTGGTATTCGGTCATAAACTCCGGGAAAATCCCTGGTACAGGAGTGTGGGAAGGGGAAAAGCACGTAACCTTCACACTCCTGATAGCTTGCTAGGCTATTTAAGTGTCTAGGCTAAGCCTTGCCGACTCAAGATTCTCAAATTCGTCAAGTGCTGTGAGGTTCGAATTCACGCAAACCCCCACACTCGACACCGTGTAGTAGTCAACCTGCCTGAAGAGTTATTCGATTTTTGATGGCGAACTAACCTCTGGCTTATTTGCACCTAAGCGGGTGCGTAGGTATCCATAGGATGGTGACTACCGAAGCCACCGCACCGTTCAACTATATGAGTGCTGTGGGGTTCGAACCCACGCGAACCGTGTTCAGTGGATCTTAAGTCCACCCCCTTAACCACTCGGGCAAACACTCGATGACGCATTGCAACACTCAGCCTGCTATAACTTGAAAGGTTATCCGTTTTTCGATGTCGAATTAATATTCAGCTTGTTTGCACCAAGGCGGGTGCGTAGGTGTCCATATGATGGTGACTACCGAAGCCACCGCACCGTTCAACAATATGAGTGCTGTGGGGTTCGAACCCACGCGAACCGTGTTCAGTGGATCTTAAGTCCACCCCCTTAACCACTCGGGCAAACACTCGATGACGCATTGCAACACTCAGCCCGCTAGAACTTGAAAGGTTATCCGTTTTTTGATGTCGAATTAGTATTCAGCTTGTTTGCACCTAGCCGGCGCAAGGCGGGTGCGTAGGTATCCATAGGATGGTGACTACCGAAGCCACCGCACCGTTCAACAATATGAGTGCTGTGGGGTTCGAACCCACGCGAACCGTGTTCAGTGGATCTTAAGTCCACCCCCTTAACCACTCGGGCAAACACTCGATGACGCATTGCAACACTCAGCCCGCTAGAACTTGAAAGGTTATCCGTTTTTTGATGTCGAATTAGTATTCAGCTTGTTTGCACCTAGCCGGCGCAAGGCGGGTGCGTGGGTATCCATAGGATGGTGACTACCGAAGCCACCGCACCGTTCAACTATATGAGTGCTGTGGGGTTCGAACCCACGCGAACCGTGTTCAGTGGATCTTAAGTCCACCCCCTTAACCACTCGGGCAAACACTCGATAACGCACCGCAACACTCAGCCTGCTAGAGCTAGAAAGGTTATCCGTTTTTTGATGTCGAATTGATATTCAGCTTGTTTGCACCTAGCCGGCGCAAGGCGGGTGCGTAGGTATCCATAGGATGGTGACTACCGAAGCCACCGCACCGTTCAACAATATGAGTGCTGTGGGGTTCGAACCCACGCGAACCGTGTTCAGTGGATCTTAAGTCCACCCCCTTAACCACTCGGGCAAACACTCGCTAGCAAAATGTAGCACTGAGCCTGCTCGAACCTTGGATAATGTATACGGTTCGCTCTGAGCAAGCTAACGTCTGACTTGTTCGCCCTACGAGCAGTCGTGCTCAGCGAATCTTATTCATCACCCTGATCATTCACGTAAACACTTCATGGGGGGGTTGATCCTCGCCATGTTTATCTTGGACCATCTTGACAATTTGGATTCATCCAACTCACTCCAGACTAATTCGACCATTCAGCAAAAGAGGTTGAGAAGTTTCTCGACTAGGAACTTCAGCCCCAGGCAAGTGAATATTGTCGAAAACTTTTGCTCAGTTAACCACCCGGGAAAATACACTTCAACCAATAGACGCTGGGGTTGGGAAAGGGATTCGCAATTTCGTTTTCGCAAAGAAAGGATCACTGCGAGGCCAAATTGACGTACGTACGCAGATCCGGTTTATCAAAGTCCATTGTCTGGTAAATTAGGGAGTCTAAACCCATGTATATCGAGGTATCCGAAATCAGGCGAGCAACGCCCAGTAGACGCTAACTTCACGTCGAGACCGAAGCGTTTTCCACAGCGCGATATTTAACTAAAGTCAATCTGTCAAACATTTGAATTCAGGTCAGAGGTGGCCGAACTATCGTCCTGAATACAGACGATACCGAACCCACTTGGTCATCCGCACAGGTCGCTCAGTAATGTCAGCTCTTCGAGCGTGGAGACGCATCCTCTATCACGGGAAAACCTTTCATTCTCGTACATCTCCAGGTTTGAGAATTTGAGTCAGCCGGATTCAACAACCACCGCTTGCATACTCATTAACGCGATAGTTCCAGCGTGAACAGGAAACTTATAAGGTTACACCCTAACAGCATCATCCATATACTTCTCGAAACCCTCGAGACCTGGCCTGTGGTGAAAATATCTTCTATAATATTCGTCAAAAAGAGCGCCTCGTCGAGTATTAGTGGTGCCAAGCTCTTGCGACCCACTGGGATAAGACTATGATTTCCGAGGAGCCCTCTCACCGAAGGCATACCCATGATCAACAGCGGCCGTGAAGGACTTAGCCTGTGTAGGCATCAAATTGTGAGGCGGGTAGTGAGAGTAGTGGTCATAGACATAGTTCTCTATATCGCGAGGCTGCTGAGAATTGTCAATCATATACCGTTCGAATTCTGGCGCGGCTGGGAGCTCAGAAAAGGAGGAAAGCTCTCAAACAGGCTGGCGAGAATCGATGATAATACCCGGAGGAGCAGAATCCCACTGCTCCCTACCTCTGGCAGGATAGGAAACGGGACAGCTACCGTTCCGAGATGAATAAGACCAACGGGAATTCATGGGCCCACCCGTAACAGCATGGAAGAGATACTCACTAGAGCCTTAAAACATGGTCACGATTGCCATGGGCTTGATCCTGTAATCGTCAGAGCATGAGGATGGAAGGTACCTGCTGTATTTCGATTATTCTGTGAGTCATACACATGGTGACGGGCTGCCAACGAACAATGAAGAAGAGTTGAACAGCCATGGAGGGTGATGCGGTTATCGAGTTCCAAGGCGGCCTCGGCACTTCGAATGTGAGAATACCTGTCGATTCCGGCCCTCTTCGGGACTAAACTCAGTGGACGACGTAACAGCCTGTATCCAAACCGGGCCTGTTGTCCTTGGGAATAGATATCCAACGCTTCCACACACTGACCGAAATCTTCATATAACTCTGTTCGGGAAGCGTTCAGGCAGATTCCATCCACCTGAGCGGGGTGGTTGAAGCGTGGGAGACAGAAGGAACTGGTCAAACTTCCGGTGTGCACAAATGCTCATCTCAACGGCGGGTCAAGTTTGAAGAACCTCTCGGCTGAGCTGTGTGAAGGTGGGTGTCCTCAAGGAAGCCCCAGCGCTCATTATACAGAGTGAAAGAGGTGCACTGCATAGGGAAAGGCTTGTAGATCAGAACAAGGCATCCCTCTACAGAACTATCCATTTAACCGCAGGAAGGAAGCTAGTATATCCGTGATGTCAGGTTCACTCACAGGAGGCACTTCACTGTGGCTATATTCTGAATGGTGAGTTCAGGCATAACCGGTGACCCAGGTTGGAGGACCACATACAGGGACAAGAAGAGTGCTCGGGAACGAAAGGCAAGAGGTGAACATTATGGAAACTACAATGATGAACAATTACGGTAATGGTCGGGGAGATTAGTGGTGGACAGGTAGGAGGGAGGATGGAGAGGAGGGAATACTCGCCATCAACGATAATAACCACCACGGCGGGGACTACGACTCCTCGATCTACCACGCCTATTGTACTCCCGCGTTAGGCGAGTATCTGAGCAGGTCAGGGCTCCAGCACCGACACAGACACTACTAGTATACCTGCTGGGCCGCGGGTGGACAGCTCACAGGCTACAGGTCTGCCACGGAGGTAGCGACTTCCGTTAGCTCTCAAGCAATTCCTAGCAAAGACAGCAATAGAAGGATGTGGAAACAGCCTACTCACATGGCCTCTCGCTCAGTTTCGAAACGAACGAAAGCGAAGGGTTTGTCCCTCGGATGATAGACCTCAGTGATGTATCCATAATCAGAGAAGATTCCCTCAATTTCGGCTTCCGTGGTCTCCCAGCCGACATTATTCACCTGCAACGGAACAATCTCAGACCGTCTCATCTGAACAGACTCCCACCTTCACCGAGAACATCCTCTCTCTGTCTTGCGCTGATAGCACCGGGCGATGCGCATTCTGCTGTTGATTGGGAGCTGACGATGGCGGTCCCTACGTAAGATGGGCGTGAGAAAGCTGGGCCAATTCTCTTGGCTGCTCACCTGATCGCCCGTCGGCGGGTAATACTTATCTGTACGATAACCCGCATCACCTCGGGAGTTCGATTCAGCCGGAGCACTCGGGCGAGCGGGGTTTGATACCCTCCAGCCTCGCTGTTGCTCCTGTTCGGTCCACCCCGATGCTGGTGCGGGGTCTCGTCTACTCCAACTACTCCCCGGGACTGAAGGAAGGGGTGCATATAGGGAGACTATAGAACATGGCTGTTTACTCACCCGAAGACTGACCATGGGTTGAGGATGTTAGAGGCCGCTTAGCCAGGCCACACCGGATGGGCCAGCCATTAACCATCCGGCCATTCAACGTCAAGCTGGCTCTGAGGGCAGGAGGGGGGAGTTAGTGAGAGCTGCTCTAGTTGTTAAAATGGTTCTACGATCGGTACGGAGTATCCCTCGAGCATATACTAGGCAGTCATATGAAGCAGAACGCCTCGTATGCGTGAACTCAAGGAGTTTACTTTCTGTACATCTACTGACCCTACGTGCCATGTGGACACTAGGGCTAGCGAGATGACAGAGAGCTAACAAGCCCTGTTAACTCTTCGACTAGATCAGAGGACCGCCGCTTCACACCAGAGCCTACAGGGGCAGTGGCGCCCCACATAGAGGGTCCCAATACGGAACGATGATCAATTGCTCGCGAGGTTGTGCAATTTGTCCCCCTCACTCACTCTGCTTCTTCTGTAGTAGAGTATCTCACAAACATATAATGCGGGTGGTCATAAGCCCGCGCCATTGGCACATAAACTTCTTGGACCTACAAGAGATATGTGAACAGCTCAATCCATCTTCCCTATAGATCTACCTTGCCGAATTCACTGAACAGTTCATACACTTCCTGCCGATACTTTCCCGGATCATCGAGGCCATCAATCTGGAAAAAACGCATAGCATCCCTTGCGTCCCTGTTACAATCTTCACCTTCACTGACACGAGCCGATCTCGAGTCTCCCTGTCAAGCTGTGGTAGATCCTCGACTCTCGCAGGGTTCGGTCGCCCCCGCACTCTACCCCTAAACAGGAGTGCAACAATCACTACTAAATGGAGCCTCAGAGATGTATTGGGTAGTCACGGGTGAACGGATAGGATAGAAATGCAATGAGGAAGAGCAGGAGTATAATGTTGGATGGTACTCAGCAGGAGCTGCTGCTAGCGATGTATTCCGACTGGCTTGGCCAGGTTCTGCTGGATGTCGGCTGTCACCGTAGGATGGCCGGGAGAAACGTCCCTGCTGAGGAGCACTAGGGGAGGGCTGGGCTCGAGGAGGCATGGGGTTGGCTGGGTTGGTCGAAGGGAATTTAGAGGAAGATGGATAAGGTTGGGACATTGGCAACGTGTCTGAGGCAGTGTTGATAGTAAAGACCTGAGCTCTATCGGAGACCGGCACTGACCAGCGCCATAGTTATTTCTCTCTCGCTGCCACTGTTGCTGCTGCTCATCTTGTGGGAAGGGAGTGGCCGTATAACTCCTCCTCTCCAGAGGCTTGAAGTGCTGCCTGTTACGCGAGGATAACTCCACTTTGATAGGCCTCATGGCGCCACTGACAAACAATACGCATGTGCACGCAGCAGTGCACGCATGTGTAGGAGGCAGAGATTTACCGTAGGCTTGTCGTCTGGTCCGCACCAAGAGCAGCCACAGCCTCTTCCTCTCGCCCGAAACGTACAAAGCCGTAGTAAACCCCCTCTGGGATGTAGACCTGAGCGTCACCAGCAACCATCAATCACCACAATAATCAAATCAGCTCCACCACCGATCACCTCTCGGACCAAGCCGTAGATAGAGAAGATATGAACCAGTTCCGCTGGTGCAGTGTCAGCAGCTAGGTTCGATACCTGGTCCAAATTTTTCGAAGCTCCTTCACTACTCTAAAAGTTTACCTTGACAGAAAAGAGCTCTGATTTTCCTTCTTCCCCCTCCTTGGGCGGCCTCCGACCCCCATCATAGGGTTGAACATTGTCTCTGGCCTTCACTGGAGACCGGTCCTCCAGCTTAGATGATGCCCGCCGACCTGCCATATTATGATCGCTACGATGTACCAAAATGCGATATTACTATAATACGACTGCGTTGGTTGTGAAACATGTTGTTGAGAAGAAGACGCAGAGCGTGGCCTCGTACCCGCGTCACTCGAGCGTTTCTTCGAAAGTTGGGCCCTCACTTCTGCGTGGCCACCTGGGAGGCGTACACCCCGAACTGTGAGGGCCTTCTGTGCTTCCTCCTCAGAACCATATCGGACAAAGCAGAAAGGCTTATTAGTAACACCATCCCTGCACAGATGAAGTGAATCAAACTAGGTACTAAGGACATCTCACATCTCTTTAGGGATATAGATATCTCGTACTTCACCAAAGCGAGAGAAAGTACCATACACATCTGCTTCAGTGGTCTCAGGCCCGACGCAATCAACCTGAATAAGAGGACACGTGTATTGGACCGACGGAGAGGCTAATAAAACGACCTTGACAGAGTGGAGCTCTGCAAGCTCCTCCCTGGAGATCTCCGGGTGGAACACGTTGCCGCCATTCCTCGAGCCCTCTTCTTGATAGTCTCCAGCGGCATCCTCGTACCAATTCTCCCCCTTCTCCCCTGCTCTTTCCCATTGCCCTGGCCGGGGGCTCATAGTTTATGACGCTGTAGAGTAGCTGTGAGAAGTAAAGACCCCGACACAACACATAATGTGCCAGAGACAGTGATGTTGTAATCGAGGCAGAAAACACGTTTGATCGGTGGGGATGAAAAACCGATGACGTCCCTTTGGTCACTACTACTGAGCACGGAATAGTACACTATGACTTGCAGATACCACACAATGAGAACATGACCTGGGCTTGGGAGACTCACATCCTATAGCCCTACACTACGAGAGGAGACCATTGATAAAGGCGCTGATGCGCACAGTTTATGGTATTGACCAAACCAGTGAAATACTCAGCTCGAACAACTTACACACACTACAAGTGCTGATGACAAGTAGCTGATCGGTAATGCTACTATTGTTATTGTTGTTGATGCGATGGTGACGGTGGAGGAGGTGCCATTCGAGGAGCGGGAGGCTGGTGCTGCATATAAGGCTGCTGCTGCTGGGGCATAGCAAAATAGCCTTCACTGTGTGGCACGTGAGGTGTCCCTCCCTGCTGCTGTTGCTGGGCACCTTGCTGTGGGATGGGACCATACCACATCTGCATCGGCATCATAGGCGCCATGTTGCCAGCCGGGTGCTGTGAGTGCCTGGTCAAAAGTCCTATCACTGACTGCTGACCTTAGCCTTACGAAGGGTTGTAGATGAATCCCTCATGCATAGTAGCAGACATCGGAATGCCCGACATCATCCCAGGCTGGACAGCCCTGGCATATGCCACGCTTGACGTCACACTCGGAGCCGTTTCGCTCTCGAATGACGAGGCCGTCCCAAAACTGCCCCCAGCCCCAGGGGTGTTACCCTGCTGCCTGTTGCCTCCCCCAACGAGGGAAGATATCGGTACCGGCACTCTGAAACGGTAGGACACAAACACTCGGTCCGTTCCCACACTGAACCGCCAACCCTGCTACCCTGCCTTAGTGAATACCAACGGCTTGTATTGCGGTACAGCCATCGACGTAACGGCTGAGCTGCGGAAAAGATCGACGTTTGCTTGCAAGCCCTGACGCACAACAAACTTCATATCGCACCATTGTGTCAGTGCCGGGAGAGCGCCAGACCATGACCATGAGTACCTGTAGTCGTGCATAAGTGATTTCCAGAACCTTCCGACTGGTCAGTGATTTCAACTTTTTGTGGTGAAAGTCGCGCTTGAATGCTTGAGCGAGCTGCGGTGTGTTGAAGTTGACAAAGGCATAGCCAAGATTCTTCTCCGACCTGGGCAAGTACATATCAATGAACCCACCAACTTATTCAATGGTAGTACCGGAAGTCTATAGGGAGGTAGAAGAAGTCGTAGGTACAAGAGAAACCATGAGTGTTGATGACCTCAAGCAAAGTCGACTGTGTAAACTTAGTGGGGATGTTGCGGATCATCAGAGTCGTCCGATGGTCATTGGGATCATCCCGCACCTCACCTGGTCAGACAGTAATCAGAGCTCTCGATGGTCGGTCCGGAAACTTACTGCCGACCAATGACGACGGAGGTCTGCATTGAGCCATCGACGAGGCTGTACTGGAAACCATACTGGGTGGTTCCCTCTGACTTATGCTGCTCGATGGGTTAACGGTAGGGACTTCGCTAACACCCGTTGCGGGAGTCTCAGACTTGCTCATTTGTCCAGTGTGAAGGCTCCCTTCCTCCCTTTCCTTAGTAGGCATCGCGATAGCAGCTCCGTCGCCTTCCGCTGCAGCATCAGCACTTTTCGACCTACAACGACGATCGCCGCACGCCTGGAGTGATTCTTTATTTGCTACCTTCTCCTTCGTAGATGTGCCATGTCCTTTGCCCCAACTTGATCATATGCTGTATCGCTCATCGAAATATGCAGAAATGAATTCCTCACGGACAACTTCATGCTGCCCAGATCGTGCGAAGCACCGTCCCCTCCGGTCTCAGCAGCATCCCCCAAGCCCGTTTGAGCTCCTTCCCTCTCCACTACTACGTCAGCTGGTATTTTGAATGAGATCGACATCTCGGGCTCCTCGCTCGGCTGCACCCGTTTGATGATTCTTGCAGTACACTGGTAACCTTGAGAGTCAACAAAGGTAGTTTCCTCTCCAACTTGTGGAGGGGTGTCCATTGTCCTCACGACTGCTGCTAATACATCAGACCACAGGCCGCGACCCATCCTCACAGGACTGTCGGACGAGGGAGGCGCGGACATAATGGGACCACAGAACAGTCGAGTCCACTGAGTAGAGCTGAAGTAGACTACCACCACCGAACTCAAGGACCGCTGTTCATGACAAACTGGTCTATATGGGAGTGTACCATGGCAAGTGTTCCATGAATGTTGTGACTCAATCGTACAGTTCCGACAGACAGTTCGAATTCGAGGTGCGAACTTGGCCTGAGCATAGTCCCGTGATCCAGAGAGAAAATTCCAGGTTTACCATAGCTGCCTTATATATATATATATATATATATATATATATATATATATATATATATATATATATATATATATATATATATATATTCATTTCACCCGCTGCAGTCGGCAGGAGCATGTCAGGAGTGCCTATAAGAGATCAAAAGTACTGCTCAACCCTACCAAGTACAGCACAATGGTGATCAAAGTACGTAACATCGTAAACGCTACAATGGTGACTCCTATGGGCCCAGTATATCCGGCAATTGCCTAACCTAACACACCAGCGATTCCCAACGTAATGCTTACGACACCACTTCTGCTTCACCGCAACACCATTCTGATCCTGAGGTGTCCTGAAGGGTGTCGGATCGTTACTATGAGGTTGTACACCTATGAACCGATTGCTGGGGCCTTATCTCTGCCATGACCTCTTCCAAATGATCTCCAGGATCGCTACATGGTATGATATCAGGATCAGTAAATGCCGCGAGGATAAGAATATCAGACGAGCGCACAGCGAAGGATTCTCTCGCGTTATTCGACAGAAAGATGGTATCGCCCACGAGAGCGGCAACAAGACATAGTCCAGAAAGCCCGTGAATAACACGGCGACTGGAGAAGAGGCAATCACTAATGATCAATGGCCTGTTACCACTGCTCCGCCCAGCTCTTCCGCAGAGTCGATAAGACGAGGGAAACATGCAGTACCATCTTCAACGACATAAGAAGCAATACAAGCATAGACAGGAATACCGCTAGCCGCTGTGGACCAATCACCTATGGCATCACTTTAGGCAGCTTTCCCTAGCCCCTAGGGAGGCGAGTTATCTTATTACCACCCTGCCCTCCAATAGGATTGTGCACTGCCCCTTGTAATTCCCCTTACGGAAATATTCCCGTACCCACTGGACCTTGGACCGTGCGAAGGCGTGCAATCCACTAGGCAGCCACGACCTGCGGTTCCCTGGAGGGCAAGTCCAGCATAAAGCCCTCCTTAACCTCCTCAGTAGTACTGAGAGGCGGCTTGCCCTGAAGCAAGGCCGCGTTCAACGATGACCCTCCAGAGTAGCCTGCAGTGCTTGGCGCCTTCCCTTCGTATCCCACAACTACAGTCTGCTATCTGAGCTTCTCTACCAGTCTTGGATCGCTGAGCTGGAGGTAATCCGATATATCCATGACTTGTCGGACTGGAAAGCGTGCATGAATCTACGATGATGGATGAAGTCTTACCAGGCCCCTCTCTGCTGAGTAGAAGCCCAGCAGGCCCCTCAGGGGGCAATCGATATTCACAAGCATGTCGAGTTCAGAGCAACGGCAAACCAACAGAGAAGTCACAAGCCTTGCCGCCCTCCTCATCGAACTTAGTAAGCCTACTAGTCATGTTCCTAAATGAACATGTTGCTGTTTTTGCTGTGTCCCGGGTTCGAAACCCGGCAAGGACATTTCTCTCCTATTTTCCCGTGTCGTATACAAACAAAAGTCGACCTGCGGTTGTCGTGCTTGATATCTCGCCTGGTAGCGTCCGAGCAGGTTCAGGCGCTTACTCGACATATCAAGGCTCGAGGCTTTTTGTAGTACCGGTCGTGTTTTTCTATCACCCAATATGGACTCCGAGTACTCCTTCTCGTTGACTACCTTCTCCCCCTCCGGTAAGTTGGGTCAGATCGAGTATGCTCTCAATGCGGTATCGATGGGGAAACCCGCCTTGGGGATTAAGGCTAAGAATGGCGTAGTGCTGGCCACCGAGAAGAAGGTAGGTTCGACTCCTGCTAAGTGCAGTTCTTCTCATTGCTGAATGCAGTTCCAAACTATTCTGGCCGAGGAGGATTCCATCCGCAAGGTGGACAACTTCACCAACAGGATAGGATGCGTAATACTCTCATGAAGGGAGGGTGTGGGTAGCGTCGTTGTATTAACCTCTGTCAGGTGTTCGCTGGTATGCCTCCGGACTTCCGAGTCATACTGTCTCGTGGCCGAAAGCAGGTAGTAATGAGCATAGCTTCACTCGCGCCAATTCATCCTTCTACCACGTAATCTGACTGATCCTATTGCGCATGGTATTCCGCTGGAGTATTTCTATCCGCGTATACAATATCGAATGGAAAAGAACATCAACGGTCAACTGAGACAGTGTGGTGTTCTCAGGCCCAACAGTACTGGTGTACCTACGAGGACGAGATCCCCGTTCGACAGCTCACAAGAGAGGTTGCGAATGTCATGCAAGTGCGGTCGTTGTTGTTCAAGCTGAGAAACTTGAGACGTTCTGCTTCAGGAGTTCACCCAATCAGGTGGCGTGCGTCCTTTCGGCATATCCCTCATGATTGCTGGCTGGGATGAGACGGAGGGTCCTCAGCTATACCAGGTGAGAACACTTTACGTCTCTGCTCGGCATTTTGAGTCACTATGGTTATAAAACCAGGTCGACCCTAGTGGAGCCTTCTTCGGATGGAAGGCTTCTGCTATTGGCAAGAACTATGCCAACGCGAAGTCTTTCCTTGAGAAGAGGTATGAGAATCGACACTACCTTCGTTTGGGTCACTCGTCGCCTCTCAGATACTCTGAAGACATCGAGTTGGAGGATGCTATTCATACGGCTATTCTCACTTTGAAGGTCGTACTGGGGGAAGGAATTGTTCTCTTTGCTTTTTCTGCTGCTGCTGAACTCGTTTGATTGTACCCACTCAGCGATGTGAGCTGTGCAAAAGAGTTGTATGTGGTCATCTTTTAGGAGGGATTCGAAGGTGCTATTAATGAGCATAATATCGAGATCGGCATTGTCTCTTCTGAGGAGAAAAGGTAAAACGTTGTCATGATCATCATCTCTGGATCGGGACTCTCCCTCGCAGATTCCGAGTGCTAACACCTGCGGAGATCAAGGATTATTTGAGTGAGGTTGAGTAATGTTAATCCTAAGACACTTTGTGACTCTTGCGCGATTATGATGATGACGTGCGTCATTATTTTCGAGAGTTTCTCAGTTTGATACTAAGTGCTTGCGTAGAGTAGAAAGGACGGGCAGGATAGCTAGGGTGATCAAATGACTGTTTCCCTTGTTAGTACACATTACTCAACTACACTGTACGTTACCAAGGTGATGGGAGGCATAATGCCGAAGGAGATAGCTGGCAACGAGGAGCTGAGACGAAGTTCGAACAGGCATCAGGTGATGGACGACTTCCCGAGCGAGAATACAAAGTCCTTGTGCTGTTGTTGTGCACTAAATATTGAGATTTTATTATCTTATTCATTGAGTTGGAGCGTATTGCCAAGCAGGGCCCTTCTGTTCGGCAAGTCGTTCACATTTCGAGACTATTGCACTACATCTCTATCACCAGCACACTGCCATACCGATGACAATGGCACGGACGAGCCTGTAATGATCCAACTGCGATCTCATATAACCCAACTACCCATTAACAAGAAGCAGAGGCAGACAAATACGGAATGCCGCCGAAATTAGTTTTTGAAATATGTACAGCGCATGCCGTACCATGATTCTCGTAGATTATCTAATTAGCCAGGGTAGGCCAGCAATCTTTGTACATAATCCATCGCGACATTCGAGTGATCTGCCTCAGCTCCACAGCGGACGAGGGGTGACCGGAGCATTCAGGAGAGGGGTCTTGCCGAGTACTCTAATAGTAGGGACTGCACCAGGCCAGCAGTGGAGCTGCGATAAGTGCATGGTCAATTGTTATGCGATAGGCAGTAGGCTCTCGCGAGGCCACTATAGTTCATAGTAGCGAGATCCTACAACCCGGAATCCGTACAGCTCCCAAACTGTCCGACTATGCTTTCTCAGGTGAGTCCTGAGAACGAGCAAGGTGATTCAGGTGTATGTCGTGAAGGTCTGCGTCCTGAAATGGCTAGTTTGCGGCCAGGTTAGCAGTGCGTGTCCATCCCCTGATAGCGTCGAACCGAGGGATCACGTGCTTACCTCTATCACAGCGCCTCTGTAGGCGAAGGCACTCCTCTGTGGCGGACTGGCCATTGATGGATACCAACGCAGAAAGGATGCTCGCACGGGTAGTGACTGCAGACGGTCCTACTCATGTTGCCTGGCACTGAGTAGCCATCAAGAAAATAGCTTAGCAATAGATGGCTTCTTTAAAGATCCAAGCATCGTTTCGAGCATTGCTGAGTTATGGCATGCGAACATCCCTTCTCCCGAACAAGTAGCCAACTCCACAGATTGGAAAGCAGTACATGGTGGAACATGATGAGCCTCACAGTATCGGGTCCCTACCGTTCCACGATATGTCGTAGTGTTGCCATCTTGTACGTATACACTGCTCTATCATGCCTTTAGCAGGAGCCACTCTATTGGAGCGTCGCAATGTGATGTGGTATTCTCCTTCATCCGCCATGAGCTGATCAATATACCGTAACTCCACAACATCGTCATCAGATGGCCCGTCGGCGTAAAGGAGGGAGTAGTGGCTCTCGGCACAGACCAACCAGATGCCAGCAGTCGGGTGTTTGAGTTTATCGCCGACTTGCATGCACTCGAAGTGCTCATAGAGGCTGAGAAGGCCGATGGGACAGCTGACAGATGCATCCACTCCTCGTAGAGTGAGACCATCCAAGTCACGCTGACCATCGAAAGTGTTGGACACTGCCCTTCCCACGAGGAGTAGGTTGACGAGTTCTTGGGTGCAATACCTGAGGCAGCTGAGTAAACCAGTGGGGTGTATGCCGGAGGTTGAATATGGGAGAGAGGTAGCGACAAACAGACCTTCCCTAATCGACAAAGGCATAGCTCTCATGAAACCTGGACCCTAGAGGAAGCGGCTTGAGAAAGCGAGAAAACGATTTCCTACTGGTGATCGGTAATAGAGCAAATGACTTACCCATGAGCACCAAGCATGGTGACTCCATCCGGATCGTCTGTATCCTCCCGGATAGAGGTAAGTCCTCTGGTGAGGAGAGCCGAGTATACGAAGGAGATCAGTCCTGTACCTGCCGTTGAGAGATGCTTCATATCTCACGTCATAGGAGGCCCTCGTGAATGGAGCTGAAACCAACAGCACTGTCTCGATGTCTCAAAGACGGCCTATGGCAATGTGTACAGTTATTGGGAAGGCAACATACACCAGCCGTTCTCCCTAGGATCATCTATTAAGAACGGTGAATGCTGCTACCTCGTGTATACTCCTCATAGAGTGTTGCACACTGTAATGCTGATATCGCATCTGCCTTGCTGGTCAGTGTGTTCATCGACCCGTGGTGAGGTCTCTCTGGACTGCGCAAATCACAAACTAAATGAACTGTATGGCTCGGAGAGGCCTCTGCGATGCGCCACAGAATGTCCGCAATAGCCTCCACCAGAAGAGCCCTTCGATCAGCTTTGGTGATGGAAGGCATGGTACCTCGACTGGCCTTTAGCACTCCAAGGAGATGTGGCAACCCACCATGAGGAGCCGTAGGAAACTTCTCCCGCATGGCTTTCAGCATATACGCCATGACAGCTGCCAAGACTCCACAAGGTCCACCCTGTGCTTGAACCAAGCAGTACGGCACGTCACAGTCGGCAAGGATGAAGCCGTGTTGCCACCCAGAGGGGCACACATGAGAATTCCCACCGAAGACGAGACGGCGCAAGTCGGCAGCCACGGCATCACTGATACGTTCCAGCCGTGACTTGCCAGGCATGGCAACCGTCGGTGCTCTCAGCTTGCCCGACTGATAGAGTCGAAGAGAAGGATTGTCTTCATCGGACTCGTTGGTCGCATTCTCTCGTCGCCATAACCGCCCCGTATACCCCCTAAGTCCCTCACTGTACAGGACCGGCTTAGCCTCCGATGACTCTATAGTGCCCTTGACAGCACGCCTCCCAAACTGGGCAGACCTGGCCCTAGGCAACGTGTTCTCTGTCGAACCAGGCCTGATCGCTCGCCTGCCGAAGACCACCTCCCGACCATCCCTGCTTGCCATGGATGACACGCTTCGTAGAGTACTGTACTGACATCCACCGACTCGTACTGATAACGCAAAGAGATGGGGCTTTGGAGGAGTGAACGTGTAGGTAGTGAATGATCAGTTGATATTGCTATGATAGCAGCGAATAGTAAACATCGGGAAAGTTGGACTACGATGACGGTAATGTCATACTTCATATTGCCTCTTATTTTTCTCGAGCATAAGCTTTAAGTTGTCTTTGAAAGACGAAGCTGTAAGCATATTAAGGCCGCGCATAGACGCGAAGATAGACCAACCAGCTACGAAGGACCAGCAGGCTTATCGTCATCACCCGACGGCTGCTGTATAAACACCACCCCCTGTGGAGGAGGGGCCATCCCAGGAGGTACCACATGCCGAAAGCTACACCTGTTTGATAGGAATGACGGCTCAATTGTAGCAACGAGAATAACCTACCGGTCGCCGTAGTGGCATTGTCCACGTAGCCAGTGACGGCACACTTTGCTCACAGAATTGATGTCACTACGGATCCTCTTATAGGCAGGGCCAGTTTGACTCTGAATATGCATGGATGAAAATCAGAAACGAGTAGGTCTACTCTTACCGCGTCAAAGATAGGTAGATGTGCCTCTGCTAGGCGCGGGTCCACCGCTTTGTCCCCCTCCTCCTCCACAGAGCCCGGTGAGGGTATTGTGAGATTCTGTGAAGAGTAAAGCTCCTGAAGCCGCATGCATAGCAGAAAACCCCTGCCTGGTGAACCATGCCCTACCTGGAGCTTCTCCTCTAGAGACTCGTGAGTCGACCCTTCTACCATGATCATCTGGATGGCTGGTATCTGCATACAATATGGTCGCTACCAGGGACACGATCGATAAGGATTCAGCAGCTTACTGGTATGCCTCTCTGAGCACACCATTCACCATAGTCATGATAGACGCCCTTCATAAGGTGCTCCACCATCTCGCAAGTTCTCCTATAGGATACCTATAAGTTATCAATCTGATGGGCCACAGTACCGGCTTATTACCTCGTCATGGCTCGATACACAGAGATGCAGGGGCTCGTCTGACTCCTTGTTCTCGGGCCCTTCACGGAAGTTGCCTACAGCAGAACAGTAAAATTGAAACCCCAGGGCGTAGGAGATGCAGTTACTTCTCCGGCCCCTAAGTCTGAGCTTGGCCCCTGTCTTATGATGGATCAGCTTCATATGCTCTCCATTCGGCCCAATAATACGACCAACAATGGGGAAGTCCTTGTGCATGCGTTCAGCGCCGATCACGAACCTAAGCACGTCTTGACAGGAACTAGCAGACCTATGCTTACCTGGCACACCATTTACCGGCGTTAGCAGCTGGGCCGCCAAGGGCCTCGGGGTCACTGAGAATCGACTCTCCATCTAAGGGAGATAAACTACGCCTATCCACGGACAGCTGGAGATCTACCTCGTGCGACTTGATACTGCAGAGATGCCGCTGCTGCCGTCTCGAGAAGGCCCTGAGGAGTGTGCATCAGAACACGGAGTCTAGGCTGGTGGCAGTTACTCTCAAGTGCTTCTCCATCTCCTGACTGAACTGCTTGACCCGAGCGACACAAGTGTCTCCTTCAATCTTAAGGACAGTACCTTACCGGGTTACAGTACATCTCTGGTCGGACCAGCGAGTGGAAGGACGACTACCATCTAGGTGCCTTTGACACTCGTATGCGTCGGAGTTGTTCTGAAACTCCAGGAGGGCTACATCAGGAGCTGACACCGAGTCTAGAAGCTGCACTGTTTTCAATGGCCCGTAACTGGTAAGAGGAAGAATCAGAATAACGGGCGGCTGACTCCAGGGGAAAGAGCTCACCGAGAAAAGGTAGCCCAGAGGTCGTTTTCCGAGAAGGCGAAGTCCTTGGGAATGCCCTCGAGCATGAGCACTAACGCGCACGAGGATAAATCACCTGATGGGAAAGTCCCCCTGATTGTGACATTGAACGGGAAGGGCTCACCAGCTTGAGAGACGTCATTCTGGTAGGCGAGGAAAGGGTTGATCCTACCACCACTAGTAACGTTACCTATCGTTCTACAATACATACCGACAAAGGCCTTTGAGATGCCTCACCAACTAGTCCAGCAGTCCCATGTCCTCCAGCAAGGCCCTCAGACATAGCCAGGCTCGCCAATGACCGCTTCTGTTGGCGACGAGGGTCCATCGGGGGTGGGCTCGCAGGGGCTGGTGATGCAGCTACCTCGGACAATGCTGCTGTTGTCGTTGACATGCTGCCACTAACAACTATGTGAAGACGATGAGAGATATTATACAATGGTTGACCAACACAACAGGACAAGGGGTCTCAGCAACATCAGCTATTGCTGAGCAGCACTGCATTGACGTGAAACATGATGGCATGAATTAGGCCGAGGCTGCCTCCTTGGGCACATCCATCTTCTTCGGACGTCTCGGTGGTGCTACTCCTGGACCAGCTACACCAGGAGGGACTACCATACCCTCAGGAAGGACCTGTGGCACCATTACGGGAATACCATCGCCTCACAACACTCCTTACGTGCTTGAAACTGCACGTATCACCATAGTTACAGCGGTTCTTCAGCCAGTGGCGACACACCTGATACAACATCGCAGGAGACACCTCGTATGAAGTAGCACATCTGAACCATCAGCCCTGGGCTTTAGGGACGGGTCGTCGGGTTGTAGCAGACGCGGGTCCACAATAGCTACAAGACTAGGCAAATGCTAACATGTGTGTCACTAGTTGGGGGGGCACCCTCGTCATCATCCTCGTCCTCCAGGTCTGTCACTTCCATTCTCCCATTGCCCTCCTCTCTAGTATCATCCTCCTTACTACTCATACCGCCGAATTTCTTGTTGAAGTCGGGATTGCGATAGTTGAAAGCGACCAAGTGCTGAGCTACAGTGACCGGAGCAGGTCCAGAGCATCAGCTTACTTCAATGGGTATCAGACTCGGAGGAGCAGGAGGGGCCTCGGGGACTGGAGGCTGCACAGCACAGCTCGGTACCACTGGTGATAACACCAACTCACAGCCTGGTTCTGAGCTAAGTAAAGTTCATTCAGCTTCTGATCCAGCGACTCTGTAGCTTTGCCCTCGACCACTATCATTTGTATGGCCGGCACCTACTCCGACGAGATCCTTAAAGTGGCTCCCAGGGATACCCCTTAGTACTGGTATTCCCCGCTGGTCGCACCATATAGCATAGTCATCGTACACAGACCTCATATGGTTCTCCACTAGCTCGCATGTACGGCGGTATGCAACCTCACTAGTGTTACCTACACGATACCCAAGGTCGGGTCTCGAGCGGTGGTCATTCACCCCAGACCTACTGACACATAGATGCATAGGTTCATCCGATTCCATATTCTCTGGGCCCTCTCTGAAATTACCTGTATTGACTACCACTCTTCTCCCACTTCACCCAGGCCATACTTCGTTTCCCTCTAAGCCTGAGCTTAGCCCCAGTAGCGGCATGTATAGTCTTCATATGCTCCCCATTAGGGCCTATAATACGACCCACGAGAGGGAAGTCCTTATGCCTGATAGAACGCTTTCATAACTAAACCATATGCTCTTCAATTCTTCGAAGGTCCAGAAAGTTCGGTGATTGATGAAGACACATCCGTCCGAGGCCCAGGATCATATATCACATTCTTTCAGCTCCGATGACGAAACGGCAGCACCACTGCTTGGGGGCAGACCACTGACCATCGTCCTCACCTGCACCAGGCCAATCGCCGCATTCCGGTCGAGAATACCCACCGTCAGCTGAGTCGAACAAACCACTGTTCCGCAGAGTTGACTGTCCCAAAGCCAGCTCCAGGTTGCGCTGAAGGAAGCTAGAAGATGATCGTTCGAGTAGGGCTGCTGCTGCTGTTACTACTCGCAGTTTAGCCTCCGTTTCTCGGCAGAAAGGTGATACCCTCACCACTACAGTGCTGCCCCCATCAACCTTCACAGGCATTCCTATTAACAACTAGCGACAGGACTGTGTGGAGTAGGTGATGGTACCATTCATGTGGTTAAGGAACTCCATGGCATCCTCTTTGTTGACGAACGCTATCAGGGCAACATCAGGGGCCGATACTGAGTCCAGGAGCTCCAAGGTGTGCACTGGTCCGTACCTTGAGCACGCCGCTTCCAGTACCGAGTAAAGACAGCAGTAAACTTGATTTCTCAGAGTCGTGCGAATAGAGGCTACATTACCTTTCACAGACCCTCCTAAGATCGTTCTCGGAGAATGTATAGTCAGTCTTCATCCCCTCCAACTCTACTGCTAGCGGCAAGCTACTGAGGTCCTGGAGCTCTGCCATTACTCTCTCGATAGTGTGAACCATCGATGGTCTGTGCTCCCGTCTACCTACCCACAACAGCCTCACCAGGAAGGAGGCAGTCATCCCTTCCCCCTCACCAGGGAGGCTAAGACGAGCCCTCTTGGATTTGCTCTCCGTCGATGCTCCTACGTCCAATGGTTGCTGCATTCACTCAACTAACAGAGAAAGGCTCTCAGCTTCAGTCCATAGAGTTATCATCCCACTTCTATTGGAGTTTCGCCCGTGATATGAAAAGCACTGGTGAAAAACGAATTTCACGACTAGTGCATAGAGCGAATATCGCGTTTTTCACCGAGTTTCACGCCACTTCGCGTAAAGCGGGTGAATCTCCATTGAATCTCAGCACAAGGACTGCTACTACCTTCTATTTCTCCGAAATCTTCGAAGTGAGCGCAGGGCGAGCGCTAATGACGAAAGATTTACTGTCGGGAACATGCAGATCCTTCATTGGAGAGGACGTTAATGCGGTGTCGCTAGGTGAGGTTGAAGCCTTGCCCATTTCCCCCTGTTACGCACTCCTGATGCGGTGATGCTTGAAAGTAGCATGCCGGATTGACGATCCTGACCGCTTCTATGATGGTAGTCAGCTCTCGGTCAGTGGACCGACATGGGACAGAGCTCTGCACTCTCAAGATGGAGACGTCAGAGCTGGTGGAGGCCAGAGAGAGAGGTAGTAATCTTATATTCGTCATTGACTCTACACAAGCGGTAATAATTCGGTGTTTCAGCCTGGCAGGGTTTGCCGTCAACGAAGTTTAAGAGCCTGGAGTTGGAAAGGAAGCTTCCAAACCGATCCCAGTGAAAGGGGAGGTATGTGCCGTTAGACGAACGTCTCATCCTCCTCAGAGAAACATGAAAACCGGCTTGCCAATGCCCTGCGAGGAGGAACAAGAAGGTAGTGCTTTGAGGAAGGAGTAGGCATGCATCAAAGGGGGCGTGTTTTCCATCATACTGTCGTCTTGAGTTAGCCCTGAGGATCGCTAGACTAGAGCTTCCTTTTTGATGTCGACTGCTCCTTCACTGGAAGAGGGACCGCCTTCCCCTCTAACAACGCAGACGAGTAGCAACAATACCTCGCCGGAGCATAAGGACGGAGCTGAGGGAGCTGGACGAAGTTCTGCCAGCGAGGGAAAGAAGCCAGCGTTTAGGTATAGAGCCTCCAGTCTTGGTGCTCGATGATGCATGCTTCATTCTGCAGACCTGCTGGCTTCCCAGATGATTACACCTTTCAGCGTGGC